GAAGCTGCTCCCCGGGGTCTGGGGCTCGTGGGCGCAAGGGCGGATGCACACGGGGGTCCGACTGCCCCCTGCCCTGCGCCCGGAACACAGCCGCGTGGCCCCGAAGCATGAGAGAGTGCGTCAGCGAGCGAGGGAAGGAATGGTGAAGGGTCGTTCTCCCGTCTCCGTCTCCGTGCGCAAACGTCCTCCAGCAAGAGTCTCCTGGAACCGGTCACCCCTCCCTCCCTCCCTCCGCGGGCAGCTCCTGGTGGGGAGCCTTTGCTTTTCCCAAAATAAAAGGGCGTGGGGACCGGAAGTGTGGCTCTCCGGCTCCGCCCTGGCGGCTCCGGGCGGGAAGCCAGCAGCCGGGCTCCTTTCCAGCGCCGGCCGGCCGGCCGTGCTCTCGCCGGAGCACCACGAGCCTTATTTAGCTGGGGGATCGCTGCTCGCCTGGCCACCCGTGTGGGCGACTGCCCGTCGGTGGTGAGACGGGACAGCCTCCCTGGGAGTCCCAGCCGGACAGGGTGTGGGCGGGGCTGGGCCGGGCTCCTCCCGACACCGCAAGCTGGGCCGCGCTCCGGGCCTGCTGCACCTGGGCCTGCTGCACCTGTCGGGGAGCCAGAAGGTCCTGCGGGGGCGGCCCCGGACTGCCCTCTCCCGCCTCCTGCTGCGAGGCCCCGCCCCTCGTCAGACGCCTCTGCCCCTCTCCCTCCTTTCCCGTCAGAAATGGGGAACTAGCTCCTCTAACCACAGTTCAAGGTTCCTGCGGGGCTAAGGCAGGAGGCGGGTCCTCAGGGTGTGTAAATACCCCAGCCTTGAAGAACACAGCCGCGTTCTGCCTAGGTGGTGTCTTTCCCCTTGAAACAGCCCTTTCAAGTTCAAGTACAACGCTTAGGAATCTAGCTGCTGTTTTTTGTGTGGTTTTTTTTTTAGAAATTATTTATTTCTTGAATTGGCCCTATTATCATTTTCAAGCATAGTGAGGCTTTTTTTTTAAGATTTCATTTTATTTTATTTTTAGAGAGGGAAGAGAGGGAGAGAGAGAGAGAGAGAGAGAGAGAGAGAAACATCAATGTGCGGTTGCTGGGGGTCATGGCCTGCAACCCAGGCATGTGCCCTGACTGAGAATCGAACCTGCGACAATTTGGTTCGCAGCCCGCGCTCAATCCACTGAGCTACGCCAGCCTGGGCTTAGCTGCTGTTTTGTTTTCTCATTTTCTGACGAACAAGCATGGTCACTAGGCCTCTAACAAGACGAGCCACACACTTCGGCGTGTCCTCGTCCCACCTAAGATCTGCTGCCGACCCTTTCTGTCTAGGAGATGAAACGCAGGCCTTTCCTTCTCTCCCAGGCTGCAAATGTTCTCCCGAACCCACCTGGGCCCAGCCCCCCTCCTCTGCTTCCTTCGCCCCCCACCACCACCAGCCCTCCACTTCCATGCCCCCTGGCCTTTGCACCTGCTGTTGTCTGTGCTGGAGCTGCTCGCCATCTGGCGAACTCCTACGTATCCTGGGAAACCCCACGGAAAAGGCCCCTTCTCTGCAGCCCGTTCGGTGCCCTGGAAATTGCACAGGCCTTGGAGCCGGAGGCGGGGGGTCCAGGCCTCTCCCCGCCTTGTGCTCTGATGCATGACTTCAGCTCTCGGGACTCCGGTTTCTTCACCTGTCACTCATTACCTGGAGCTCCGGAATGTCAGGTACCGCACTGGACTCATCCCCGGTCCTCTCCTTCCTCCCGGATGCCTAAGGCAGTCGCTGTCCCACGAAAGTAGTATGTCAGCAGTGAACTTCCTGGTGTTTCAAGTTCTGCACTTTGTCCCCGCCGCGGCCCTGGGGGAAGGTGGGGCTCCCCGACTTTACTCACAGGAAACGCGGGGTGGGGGTTCCACACCAACAGGCAGGGCCGCGTCCCTCGTGTGGGACCCAGCACTGGGCGCAGTGTGAGGGCCCAGCTGTGGGACTCTGTGTGTCAGAGGCGGCCTGAGGCCACACCCCCGCCTTCCCCGAGAGCCAGCCCAGCCCAGCCGCTGGGAGAAAGGGAGGTGAGTCACGCCCCCATTTGTTTTACAAATTAGGAGACAGAATCTCTCAGATTAACCAGAAAACAAAACCAAACCCAAAAACCCAAATCCACCATTCACGTCATTCCCAGCCGGGGATGGGGTGGGGGGGGTCGGGGCCGGCTTGAAAGGCAGGGCTCAGCCCTGGGCATTCTGCGAGGCCCCAGAGGCCCAGCCCCCCCGGGAGACATGCCCACCCTGCTCCCCGAGCTTTGAGGTGGCCAGCTGGCCTGGGAGTTGTCCTCTCGGGGCCAGAGCCCCAGGGGACCACCGGGAGACTCGGGAGCCAGCGAGCCCCTCCCGCTCTCGGCCCTGGGCCCCCCCCATCCCGACCACTCGGCCGTCCTGAGGCCAGGCAGGCCAGGCTGGTGCCCCGGGCGATTCGTCCACTTCACAGCGGGCGAGGGAGCGGTTGGTCTGCCTCGGGCAGTCGTGGGGGGACAGTTTCCGGCCTCCACGCGGGACTGGGTCGGACTGTCTGGGCGTGGGTCTCAGCCTCCTGCGGTTTGAACACATTTCCAAAGGGTCTTCCTCGGAGGGGGAGGTGCCCCTGCTCCCTGCTCCCCGGCCAACCCTCACGCCAGCCCTGCGGACGCCCCTGCGTGCCCACTGGGCCCCTCCCGTTCCGTGTCACCAGAACCGAGCACCCCTTTATGGGCTGTCCCCCTGCCCACACCGGCCCCTAGGCCCCCTTCGCAGGACACCATCACCTCCCGGGAACCTCTCCGCACCTGTCCCCCTCTCTCTCCCTGTCGTGCATGCCTGGCCCCATAGCCCGGGGCCCGTTCCTGCTCTTCCCCCACCAGCGCCCGCTATCCCACCCACCTGGGCCCCTCCCGCACCCCCACCCGGCCCATTCCAGTCCCACTCTTCCTCCGGCTTCCACTGTCGCTCCTCCAGGCCCCCTGCAGCCAGAGCAGCTCCTGGAAGACGCAAATCTGATCCCACCGCCCCCAACCCGTGTCTCCTCAGGGCCTTCCCCTGGCTCCTGGGACAAAAGCGAATCCACGGCAGGTTCTGGCTCCAAAACACAGGCCCATAGCTAAGCAAAGGTGGGCGTGGCCGGCGCCGCCACAGAGCGAGCTGCGCAAGGGTGGCAGACTGCTGGCTTGCGGGCGGCACCTACCAGGGAGCCGCGAGGCTGGCCCTGCCACTAGCCACCAGCGGCCCAGGCGATGGTGTCGCCCGAAGCCCAGCCCGAGTCCTGGGCAGGGTGGGTGCGTCCGCCCTGGGCAGCGAGGGCGGGCTCCAGGCTAGAACGTCTCAGGCGTGTGTCTCGTGATCACGGGACAGGAAGCCGCCGGAAGAGCAAGACGCCTCGGCCACCCGGCGATGCCGGTCCCTGGCCTCTGCTGCCCGCCCCAGGAATGTCCCAGGGTTGGTGGGGCGACCCCGGGGACAGAAGAGGCTGACGCGGCCTCGCTTGTGTGCCTGCGGTCTGCCTGTGAGCGAGTCACGGGGTCCTCACGGCCCCCCGGGAGGGGCGTGCCAGGAGCGTCTGTTTTGCAGGCGACACCACGTAGCTGCTACGTGGCAGAGCTGGGCTGGAACCCGGGTGTTTGGCCCCGGAGCCGGCCACACCTCGGGGCTGCAGCTCTCTGGGAGTCCCTTAGGTCTGCCTCGTTCCTTGATGTCCATCGTCTCCGCGGGGCCCCCACCGCTCAGCTACTCGAGGTCTGGTCTGTGCCGAGAAAGGTGAGTCAGGCCCCCGGTCTCGCCGACCCACGCACAGGGATTCCTTTCTTCCCACAGCCTTGGGGGCTCGGTCCGGGCTGCAGACACCACCGGCGGGGCCCGGTGACCGAGGAGTCTCCTTATGCAAAAGCTGACAGGGCTGCCGGCCAGGCCTGGGTCACGTGCTGGCTTCCCCCCTCCCCGAGGGCTCCCCAGAGCCTCCGGAGGTCTCCGGGAACACACACGGGAGAGGTATGTGCCCCCCCCCAGGTGAGCTGTAACGGTGCATGGGCAGGCTGTGTAAAACAGGACGTCCCTCGGGAAGTTAAAATGATTACAGTGAGGGACCTTTACAACCTGCCGGTCACTCACCACGCCGCATCTCAGCAGCCGGGGAGAGGGAGGGTCTTACCAGGTGACTAAGGTTGGGGAGATAGGGCTCCCCTGCGGGGCCACCCAGCGAGAGGAAGGTGACGTGGGCAGTCCCAGGCTGAGCCCTATGCTAGCAGTCTACTGAATGAATGTGAGGGTGGATGGGTAAATGGTGGATGGATGGATGGATGGATGGATGGGTGGCTGGCTGGCTGGCTGGCTGGCTGCGTGGTTAGATGGGTGGACAGAGATGGAGCATACAGCTCAGATACCCGAGCAAAGAGATGCCTGCACCACCGTGTGGCATGAAGGGCAGGCTCTGGGTCTTGGTCACCATGGGGAGTGCTGGCTGGGGCACTGGGCCTTGGTGGGTGGCGGCCTGCCCACACCCGCCCAGCAGGAACTCACACCCTGACCAGTGCACTGGGGATTCCAAAACCCTTGGGTGCCCCACCCCCACCCGGGACACCCAGGCCTGGCCCTCCAGTCTTGGAGTTTGTTTCTTCGCCCGCACATCTGCAGGGCGGGGCCGGACTGGGCAGGAGGGGCCGCCGGCTGGCAGCGAGGTCAGGCAAGGCCGCTGTCAGACTTTGGGAGGAAGGGGAGGCAACAGCTTGGGCAGGTGGCCGGCGTCGCTCCTGGGCATCAGGATGCTGCGGGCCGGCCAGGGTTGACCCCGAGGGGTCCGGGAGCACGTGCAGCGAGGCTCCTCCCGCGGGCAACCCCTCCGGACGCCGAGACTCGGACTCAGGCGGCAGTGAGGAGCGAGGCTTCGCCCCCGAGGGTGCGGCTGCGGCCGCCTTGGTGCGTTTGGACGTAAGGCCGGGTGGCGAATGCGCGTAACCCTCGCGAACTACAAGACATCAGTAAAACTGCCAGTTAGAGAGAGACGCCTATAAAATGAATACAATTTCCTTACTTTTAGAGATTTCATTTATTTAGAAAGGAAGGGAGGAAGAGACAGAAGCATCCGCGTGTGGCTGCCTCGCATGTGCCCCCAGCTGGGGACCTGGCCCGCAGCCCGGGCCTGTGCCCCGACCGGGAGCTGAATAGATGACCTTTCGGTTCACAGGCCGGGGACTGCGACCACGTCTGACGGGTCCTAGCACCTTCTCCAGACACTGCACACGTATCCCTTTGTGGTTCAGTCGTGTCTCTATCCTTCTTGCAATAACAAAGCAAAATGTGATGAAACTGTTCAGTATTCTTCCATCTTCAGTGCTAATGGCCACACAAAAATTGACCATTTTTTAGGAGTTTTTAAAAGGCACCCTGGTATAACAAAGACAATATTGAAGAAAGTATGGCATTTTTGTACAAAAATGCCATAACAATGTCATCAACAATGAAACAGCAGAAACAGAAATTAGGGGGGAAAAAATCCCATTTGTAATTCCATTGCAACAAGAAAAATAAAAGACCTGGGAATAAACCCAACGAAGGAGGCGAAAGCAGGACTCAGAAAACTACACAACACTGAAGAGAGACGTTAAGGAGGACACAGATAACTGGAAGCATATACCGTGTTCATGTATTGGAAGAATTAACATCGTCGAAATGTCCATGTAGCTCAAAGCAACTTGTAGATTCAGTGTAATTCCTATGAAGGCACCCATGGTACATTTCACAGAGATAAGATAAACACTTCAAACATTCACGGGGACCCCGGGACGGCCCCGAAGAGCCTCAGCGATTCTGAGGAACAGGACGCAGCGGGAGGGAGCACTACACCCGACACCGGACCGCATCGCAAGGCCGCCGTGGCTGACACAGCCCGGGGCTGGAGTAAGAACGGACACGGGGACCTCGGGGACAGAACAGAGAGCCCAGAGACAAACCCAGGTCCCTACGGTTGACCGGCGTGTGACAAAGTGGCACGAACACACAGTGCAGCACGAGTAGCCTCTTGAACAAATGGTGCTGGGAGGGCCGGGCAGCTCCGTGCAAACAAAGGCAACTGCACCACCAGCCCGCACTGTCTATGAGAAGAAACTCGGTGTAGGAAAGGCTGCAACAGGACCCGCGGCACGGTAAGTCCTGGAGGGGACACAGGCTGGGAAGCCTCCGACACCCTGTGCAGTGGTCTTCTCACGGCCACGTGCCCTGCAGCAAGCAAATAAAGCTTCAAGGCTAAAGAAAACGTCAGCAAAATGACAAGGGTCGACTGTATGGGAATATATATTTGCCAACGATGCCTCAGACAAAGGCTCCATCTGCAAAATATAGAAAGAACTCACACGACTCCACTCCAGGAAGACAGACAATCCAATTAAAAAATGGGCAAAGGACCCGGACAGACACTTCTCCGGAGGGGACACAGAGAGGGCCCGAGCCACATGAAGGGAGGCTCAGTGTCACTAGCCACCAGAGATGCACAATTAAACCACGACGAGATACCGCTTCACAGCAGGGAGAACGGCCATCACAGACAAATGAACCTCTCCACATGCAGTGGAAAGGACGGGGAGACCGGGAACCCCAGTGCGCCGCCGGCGGGCAGCCGCTGTGGGAGACAGTATGGAACTTCCTCAAAGCACGAAAGTTTCAACTGCCTCTTGTGCCAGTGATCCCGGGGACCGGGCTGTACCCCAAGAGCCCCGAAACACCAACTTAGAAGAACCTGTGTGCCCTAGTGTTCATAGAAGCATTAATTGGAGTTTTGGAAACAACCCAAGCCCACATCAGTAATTTAGTGGGTAAAAAAACCTGCGGTACATGTGCACACAGCGGAATGCTATGCTGCAGAAAGGAGGGGCTCCCGCCCTTTGCGGGGAGCTCTTGGAGACAGCTGCATGGGACCGGAGAGCATTGCACTAAGTGAAGTATTCCAGGCTTGTGCTCTCACTGTAAGTGGAGCCTCACCAACAAAACGAACAAGAGTGTAAAACAGAACCAGAGACGTGGAAATAAAGAAACGGACAGTGACCGGAGGGGAACGGGGAGAGGGGGTAATGGGGGAAAGAGGGGAAGGGTCAAGTCAAGGTGCACGTGTGAAGGCCCCACGGACGAGGACAGCGTGGTGGGGTGGGCGGCCAGGGGAGAGTTGGGGGGGGGGAGATGGGGACGGCCACGCTTGAACAACTGAGTGGGCGCACGAGGACGTGGCAGCAGCCCAGCACACGCTAATAAGACTGTCCTGAACCCAGCTGAAGACCGCCGAGAGCCATGAGCCTCACAGAGAAACAAAACGGACTTTTTGGTCGACCTGATGTGACCTTTCTGCCACGTTTAAATGTCCCTGAGCACGCCCATGACACTGTGCGGCTGTCCCACCCTCGGCACGTGAGTTTGGTGGGACAAAGCTGTCCCCTCGTGCCTACACCGTCATCAGGCAGCTTTGGGACACTGGGGGCCTTGGGCCTGCCTGGTGCTGGGGTGACGCGAAGGGTCCAAGATAGTTTTCTGTTCAACCCAGGAGAGCTGCAGCCACACGTCACGTGGCTCCCTCTGGGAGGACCCCACGCCCCCACTGAATCGGCCTGCATTCTTTGGTGACAATGCAGTGGGTAAATGTGTGACTTTTTTTCGAAGACTTTTTTTGAGAGAGGCAGGGGCGGCGGGGGAGCGGGAGAGAAACATCAGTGTGTGGCTGCCTCCCACACACCCCCTGGCAGGGACCTGGCCCCCAACCCAGGCCTGTGCCCTGGCTGGGAACCCAACGCATGACCCTTTGGTTCGCAGGCTGGCGCCTGGCCCGCTGAGCCACACAGGCCGGGGCATGCGTGACTCCTGCCGGTGTCTTCATCGAATCAGATTCAATGCTGAGGACTGCTCTGACGGGAACAGGTTTCAACTGCAGATGCTCCTGGCACCAGACAAGTCCTGCCTCTGTGCCCATGCACGGAGGGCCCCGGCGTGCTCGCCCGTCTGGTCCCAGAAGCGACACGCACAGCGATGCTGGAGCCAGCATCAGGACTCAGAGCAGTGATCGTGGAAATAACCCGAAACAAAACATGTGCGGACAGCGTGTGGTTCTGAGGACGCAGTCAGGGGTCTGCAGGCTGGGTCCAAGGGGTGGGCGGGGCAGAGAAGGGCAGAGCCTGGGTGGCCCAGGGAGGTGGTGAAGCTCATTCCCAGGGGGGACAGGCTGTGGGAAGATGTGCACTCTGGCCCACGGGGTCTGAGTGCTGTGGCCGCGGCGCACAAATTCACCCGGACCGCAGGACACTCTCTGAGTGAGAGGGGGCCCGACCCCCGCCTGGACCGGCCTTTGTTGCTTTTCTGGGCACGTGACATGCAGGCTGGTCCTCATTTACTATGCACGGGTTCGCTTTAGGTGGCTACCTTTTACAGATAACAAAGGAAAGGATGTTGGTAATTACTTCAAAGAGAAGAATGCTGCAGCTCAAGGGGAAAGGTGGTTGAACTGGTTACACTCCATACTTGGGAGGTTTAGCAGATTTTAAGAAGTGACTTTAAAGATACGCAGTAGACCTTTGCTGCCTCCATCCAGGGTGAGGGAGCTTTAGCCAAAGCAAGCCTCATAGCAGCCCAGGCCCAATGCAGGCCTGGCTCCCCACGGGAGAACCAATCCTCCGTGGGTTTGGGTCCTGTGTGGTGAATCACTCCCCACAGGTTTTTTGCATCAGGCTGGGCTCCATTTGCCACGCCATGTGGTTCAGTTACCTGTAGGAAGACGCTGGTGAGGTAGTTGTGAGCGGAGGAGCTGGTGCTGCGGTGCCTGGGCCGGCCGGCCCTGGTCTGTGTCTCACACGGCTGGGCAGACACAGAGCCTGCCCTCCAGGGCCCACGTCTCAGCCCCTGGCACTTGGGACTATGCTCTCGCACAGTAAAAGGCCTTGCACAGTGACCAGTACAGAGCTGGGCACCCCAGGAAAGGCGCGGCAGAACCAGGGGCCTGGGGCTGGGCACCCGGAGAGGAGAGGTGCTTCACGAGGGGGGGGTCAAGAGAGGCGCCCCATGCCCCACGGCGGGGCACGGCTGCGGAGGCGCACCAGGGGTCGGCGGCCCGTGACCCCGGCAGGTGCCGGGAGATGGGGAAGAGGACTGAGGCCAGGGAGCGGGCAGGAGATGGAACAGACGAGGCTCCCACGAGTGCTGGTGACCCTGGAGACGGGGCGACACACAGAGCCCCGTGTGGGACCGCAGAGCAGGGCCGCCTGGGGCGTGGGGGGCTGGGGGCCCTGGGGGGCGGCGGGCAGAGGGCGACGGAGCTGACCCCGCGCGCCGGGAGCACTGGGCCCGCTGCCCCCCCCCATCAGAACCAGAAACACCATCCCTCTGATGGGACATCGGGCACGTGGGTCCCCAGGGAGACGACACTGAGGACACGCCACCTGGGAGCAGCCTCCGGGTCATGGGCAGGGAGGCGCTCCGTGCCGCAGGGCAGTTCAGACCTGAGACGAGAGGCGACCGACTCCGGGGACCTCGAAGCGCGGCAACGGCCTCCGACCAGCCTCCGGGCGCGACGCCACGGCTTGTGTTTAAGGCACCGAGGAGCAAGGAGTCGTGGGTTTGGGGGGCACCTAGTGTGGCTGGAAGCTCCCTGGGTGTGGACACAAGCCCAGAGGCCAGGCCAGGCCACGGCCCCGGGCCTGACTCGGAAGCCCGCCCGCCCGCCCTCCGGCCCGTGTCCGAGCACACAGCGGGTCGGCGGACATGGGAAGGCCAGCGGGCCTGTCGTCAGCGGACGGTGGTCTGAGCCTTCCCCGTGTGCCGCGTGTCTTCCCGTGCTCGTCCTTCTCTCCTGGAGCCGGGCCGCCACGCTGGCCCTGCTCACACGGGCCTCCCAGTCTGGCCCGGGGCCGTCATGGGGGAGCCCCCCGCCACCCGTGGGGGCCGGTGGAGTAGGTGCAGGTGTCTGTCCGGCTGGGAGCCCCCATCTCCAGGGGGCAGTTTCTCCTGCTCGTTCACCCCACCCGACGGCTGACTCAGGGGCCTGCAGCTGCCCGGGGCTGGGCCCCGCCAGGCCCTGGAGCACGGGTGGGGGGCACGTTCTCGCCCCCCACCTCCCGGATCCTGCAGCTCAAGATGAAAGCTTTGGTCACGTGGGATTAGGTCACATGGTGGGTGATGAGAGGCTGCTCCAGGGGGCTGGAGAGGGGGGTCCCGGGGCGGCAGTGCCCGCCGAGGGCAGGCCTGGCGTACGCCGCGCGTGGCGCCGGGGGACAGGCCGCCGGAGCAGCTGGCAGCCGAGCTGGGGCGGAGCCCCGGGCGGGGACCGTGCGTCGTCATCAAAGGAGCCTCTGTCAGAGCGCCTGGCCGACCCCGTGGCGGGAACTGGAGCCCAGCTGTGCAGAGGCCCGTCGTCCCCGGGGAGAAGGGCGGCAGGGTCAGGAGGAGGCCCCTGGGACAGGCGCGTCCGAGTCCCACGACTCGAGGGACACGGTGCCGCTGCCACTCTCACTCCGGAGGCTCCGGGCCTGCTGCTCCTCTTCGACGAGATCCGCCACGAGGTTCAGGCGGCTGGCCCGCAGCGCCTGCACCAGGTGGGACACCTCGGCCTGTCCCCGCGCCGCTCGCTTCCAGACCCTCAGCGACTCCCGCACCTGCTCCACCAGGTTCCGTGGGTACTTCACCTCGATGGCGTCGATCTTGGGGTCGGGCACCTTCAGCTGGCGCGCCAGTCTCTTCCAGTCCTTGCCCACGTGGTCACATATGATGTCGAAGGCCGCCTGGAAGTCTAGGGGGAGAGAGAGCAACGGGGTTCGCTGGGGGCTTGGGAGGCCCCTGGGGGGATGGCCCGCTGACACCCGAGGGCTGGGGCGGGCTGCAGGGGAGCTCCCTGCTTAGGGCCGGGAACCGAGGGAGGGGCTGGGAGAGCCCGAAGGGAGGAAAGGGGGCTGCTCCCCTGCCCGGAACTGTGGCCCCGAAAGGACACGCCCACGCCACGTCCCCGGAGCCATGCGTGTTATCAGAAGAAGGTCTCTGCCGATGTGAGTGAGTTGAGGATCTCGAGAACAGGTCGTCCTGGGTTACATGGGCGGGACCTAAACCCAGCGGCACGTGTCCCCATAGGACAGACACAGAAGCCTCGTGACTACGGAGGCAGAGACTGAAGTGATGGGGCCACAGCCAAGACGCCTGGAGCCCCCACCCCAGAAGCTGGACGAGGCAGGGGGGACCCCACCTCACCCCCTACCCTCCCAGGGAGTGTGGCCCTGGGACCCCGGTTTCCGACTCTGGCCCCGACCAGCTGTGAGCGCTTTAAGCCACCGAGTGTGCGGTGACTCCCACAGCATCCCCGAGAAACTGACACGCGCCCCAACGCTCATTTGGGGAGCTGCCCTGACTGACCACCAGTGTCCGGCCCCGGCCACCACGCCCTCGTCTGCTGAAGGCACTCCGAGGTCGGCGAGCTGGGGCGGCAGAGCACGACGGGCCGTCTCCAGAACGGGAGAGGGGAGAGCGGAGGGCAGAGACGATGCTCGGAGTGCCCCTGCTGGAGGGCTGGGGGGCCCCGGCTACAGGCCACCGAGGCGCTGTCAGCCGTGCACCCACCCCGGAGCCCCGACGGCCCTGGGAGGCGGTCGCTTGTGTTACTACGACCGTGTGTACCAATAAGGGAACTGAGCACAGAGAGAGCCAGTGATTCCCCTGAGGACACACAGCCAGACAATGGCAGAGCCAGGGTGCAAAACCCTGACGGTCTGGTGCCCCGGCCCGCTCTGGATCCATCACTATGCTACAGCGCCTTCTGGAAGAGTAATAACAAACCACCCCTGACGCCCCATTCCTGCTCTTAACCTTCTGGCGCGCTCCCCCCGACACACAGTAACTACATGGACAGAAACCAGGCACACGCTCGAGCCCCTGAACTGCTCCCCGGGTCCTGCAGACCCCTCCTCAGTGTGCCCAGCGAGCACCCCCCCCCCGGACAGCCTTGAAAACACACGTCCCACGTGGCCTTCCGTCTGTCTGCTCTCCGGCAGAGCCACGCCTTCAGCCTGCCACCAAGGAGCGCCAGCTCTTATGGAGTGACACCACGGTGTCACGTTTATCTCCTTTTTGGGTTCAGTGACCCAATGACCAATTCCAGGCCACAGCCTGAAGAGTGTAAGGGGCGCCCCCAAGGTATCTCCTACCCTCCCGCCCCCGGGCTCTGAGAACACGGCTGGTGACCCAGGAACCCTGCTGGAGTCAGGTCTCACTCTTGCTCCCGGACGCTGCCGCAGGCCCCGGGTGCAGGTGGCGGGTGGGGTGGGAGTGGGGTGCCTGCGAGCTGCCCGCTGCGGGAATCTCACGTTTACTCCAGGACGCTGCTGCAGGCCCCGGGTGCAGGTGGCGAGGTGGGGGTGGGGTGCCTGCGAGCTGCCCGCTGCAGGAAGCTGCTATAGAACGCACTTGACCAGAGACAAAACAGAAACGGGAGGACACTTCATAATCCTGAAGGGAAGAATCCATCAAGAAAACATGAATGTTGTAAACATAAATGCACCCAACACAGGAGCACCCACATATAGAAGGAAAATCTCAGGAGACAGCAACACGCCTATACTAGGGGACTTTAGCACCCCACTGTCAACGATGAACAGATCTTCCAAACAAAATATCAACTAGGATATCGTGGAACTGAACTACGTGTTAGATCAAATGGAGTTAGCAGATATATATATATATAGAACCTTCATTCTAAAGAAGCAAAATACACATTCTTTTCAAATGCACACGGAACATTTTCAAAGGTAGACCCCATGATAGGACCCAAAACAAGCCTCAACACATTCCAGAAAACTGAAATCATATCAAGCATTTTCTCGGACCACAAGGGACTGGAACTAAAGACCAACCTCAAGGGAAAATGTTAAAAAATATTCAAACTCATGGAGACAGAACAGCACGCTATTGAACAATGAACGGGTTAACAATCAGATCAAGGAAGAAATCCAGGAGTGTCTGGAAACAAATGAAAATGAACTCACAACAGTTCTATACCTTCGGGACACAGCGAAGGCAGAGCTGAGAGGGAAGTTCATAGTGACCCAGGCCCACCTAAAGAAGATGGAAACATTTCATACAAACAGCCAACCCCGCAGCTACAGGAACCGGGGGAACAGCAACGAAGACAGCCCAGCGCGAGCAGAAGGAAGGAAATAACCAAGATCAGAGCTGAAGTAGGTGACCCAGAGACTAAAAGCACAATTCTAAGGATCAGTCAATCCAGGAGCTGGTTCTTTGAAAACATAAACAAAATCGACAAGACTTTACCCAGATTTAAAAAAGAAAAAAAAAAAAAAGAACGGACTTGATCGGAGGAACAGTGTTGTCCCTAATACCACCCGTTGGAGGCCACCCTGCCTCGCTCCGACCCCAGGGATCCGTTAGTGACCGGCTCCGCAAGCCGGTCAATATCCCTTCCAGCCAGTCCTCTCGCCTGTAAAAGGGGAACAATGACAAAAGATAGTCTGTAACGAACGAGGTTATTGCGAAAACCAAGCGTGCACCGCGCTTCAGACAGGGGCTGCAGGCGCAGGCCACGCATCCTCGTGATTCACTATCATCCTGGTTCTCCGAGGGCGGCGCCGGCCAAGGGCACTAGCTCCCGGGCGGCCCGCGGGCGTCGCGGCAGCCCCGGGCCGGGCCGCGCCACTCCTCTCCACCCAGAGGTCGGCAACGCGTTCCGCTTCCGGGTACTTTCTCATTTGCTTAGACGGAGTGGGGAGGGGAGAAAACGCGGGGCCTGGGACCTGGCGTGAGCTCACGGTTCTGAGGTTGGACTCTCCCACGGGTCACCGGGGGTGTTGAAAACAATCCCAAACTCGACCTTGGCAAAGGCTCGCTGCCTGGCAGACTCCCAAACGCAACCGCTGGGCAAACTGGCTCCGCCTCCCCCAGTTCCAGTCCTGGCCCGTGTCCCGCCCCGCCGCCCCCCGCCCCCGGCCCGGCCCCCAGCACAGCCCCTGTCCCCACCCTGGTCCCGTCCCCCGTCCCGCGCCCACCTTGCTCATCTGTCCTCGCTGCGATCTCCGCGCCCGCCTCGAAGTCGTCCAGGAGCCGCAGCAGGTCCCGGCGCCGCAGGGAGGTGAGCAGTTCGCGCAGCCGCTCGGGGTTCTCGCGGTCCAGGTCGTTCTGCTCGAGCAGCAAGGAGAAGAGGTCGATGCCGCTCTGCACGCGCTCCAGCTTCCTCTTGCCCAGGCGATCCTGGCACAGGAACTTGAGGTCGCTCAGCTCGCTGGACGACAGGCGGGTGGACACCGAGTGCAGCAGCACCAGGAACGGGTCCATGGCAGCGGGCGACGGCGGCCAGCTGGCGGGCGCGAACCCGGCTCTGCGCCAGCTGCCCCAGCCCGCCACGCCCGGCCCGGCCCGGCCCGCCGCCCGCTCCCAGATCAGCGCGGCGGGGATTGCCCCGGTTCCCTCTTATCAAGTCCTTCCTACCCCGCCACCGGAAGTTCGCGTCAGGCCTGGACATCCGGCGCCTCGCGAGGACTCCGAGACTCGCGCATGCGCCCGGAGCCTGACCGTAGCCATTTCCGCCTGGGAGGCGCGCGGTCGCCGCCAGGGGGCGCGGCAGGCAGGGTACCGGCGCGGGGCTGGGACGGCCTCTGCGCCTGCGCCCTCCGGACCCTCTCCCAACCGACCGGAACCCGTTTGTCCCGAGAGCGCCCGGCTGGCTGGGCGGGCCTGCGTTTTCCGGGAAATGTAGCAGTAAGGATGCTGATAATAAATGCTTTCGTTTGTGAACATTTGTGATGATTCATGTCCTGTAGTGCCCCCTGGACACGTGGTCGGAAAAGATGACTCAGGCTTATTTAGGTATTGAAGTTTAATTGATAATTGATTTTTTAAAGTCGTAGTCACTGATGCTTTGAATGCTTTTCAACGTTTATTGAGAGCTTACTGAGTGCCAGGCAGTAGGTGCTGGGGCCAATTCGGCAAGTCCCCGCCGGCCAGAGCTTAGTCATCAGTGCACCAGCTTCCGAAACAGATCAAGTGCAGCGTGCCCGAAGTCAGCGCGGCCAGGGCCCGGAGGGGAGGGGAGGGGAGGGGAGGGGTGAGCAGGTGGGCTCGCCGGGGCAGGTGCCGGGGGTGAGGGGCAGGGTGTGTGCTGGGCAGGGCACTGCGGGAGCAGGGCAGAGACGCAGAGCAGGGCCGAGGTTCCAGGAGCAGCGGGGGGGTGGGGGGGCAGCAGGTGTGCGGGCAAGGACGCAGGGGGAGGCTGGGGATGGATTAGGAGGGGCCTCACACGCCAGGGTGGAGCCCTTGCAGAGTGTGAGTGGAGGAGCAAAGGCGTCTGAGTTACCTTTATATATATATATATATATTTTAAATTGAGAGATAATTCATACCCCATGTATCTCACCCTTTTAAAGTGTACAATTCCCTGTTTTTCAGCATATTGCTAAGGTTGTCCAACCCTCACCATTAGCTAATTTTAGCACATTTTCATCACCCCAAGTAGGAACCTGGTACCCACTAGCGGTCACTTCCTTTCCCCCTCCTTCCCCCAGCCCCTGGCAACTGCTTTTACTTCCTGTCTCTTTGAATTGGACTCTCCCGGACAGTTCCTGTAACGGACCATCCACCACGTGGCCTTTTGAGCCTGGGTTCCTTTCATCGAGCAGGATGTCTTCAAGGTTCACCCCCGACGTAGCAGGTGTTGGCGCTTCGCTCCTTGTCACGGACGACAGTCTTCCATCGCCCGGATGGAGCGCACGTGCTCTTCGGTCGTCGGCTGGTGGGCGGGCCTTTCGGTCGTTCCCACCTTTCGGCCACTGAGCGTAGTAGCAGTGCTGCCGGGAACTCCGAGTAGGAGGAAGGAATCACTCCGCCTCGGGAAAGAATCCACCGACTTCACGTTCGTCCCGACGAGGGAGGAGGGTGCCGGGGCCGAGCGCAGCAGAGGGGAGGAGGAGCGGGCGGCCGTCGCTCCATCCGGGGTGGTGGGGGTGCTGGCGAGGTTTGAAGGATGCCGTGGGCACGGGCTGACCTGGGGAAGGTGCGGGCGGGCGGGCGGGTTTGGGGGAGGACCCGTGAGAGATGCTGGCTGGACAGCGGCTGCACCGGGTGAGGGTTTGGAGCGGAGCCCTGGGCAGAGATGCGCCCTGGAGAGTACTCCGCGGACCGATGGTGCGCGTCCTGGCCCATTTTACCTACGTCAACCTGATGGGGCCGAGGGCGCCCTGAGAGCCGGTAAAGCATTTCTGGGTGTGTCTGCGAGGGTGTTTTGGGAAGAGATTGGTATTTGAACCGGTAGACAGAGTCAAGCAGATGCACTCCCCCCAGTTTCGGTGGAGGGTCCCCATAGAACTAAAAGGTGGTGGCAGGGGGAATCGCGCTCTCTCTCGGCTTGAGCTGCCCTCGGCCCCAACGGCGGCCCTGGTTCCCGGATTTGGGACTCAGACTGGGACTCGCACTGCTTGCCCCCAGCTTTCCCACCTGCAGACTCAGACCGAACGGCACCAGGGGCTTTCCCGGTTCCCCAGCGAGCTGGTGGCAGGGGGAGGGACTTCCTGGCTTCCCTAACCACGCCGGCCACTTGCGATAACAGGTCTCCCTGTTCAGGTCTCCGGTGTCCCACTGGTTCTGTCTCTCTGGAGCGCCTGGACGCAGGCCGTGTTGAGTCACTATGGAGGGAGGGCAGAAAGACGAGGGGACCGGGGGCTGAGCCCTGGGGGTGTCCACGCACATGACTTGTCTGCGAAAGTGTCTGTTCAAGTCCTCTGCCCCCTTTTATTTTATTTAAAGGTTTTATTTACTTACGTGTAGAGAGAGGGGAAGGGAGGAGAAAGAGAGAGAGAGAAACATCGATGTGGGGGAGAGAAACATTGATGGGTTGCCTCTCGCCTGCACCCCAACGGGGGGCTGAACGACAACCCAGGCCTGTGCCCTGACTGGGAATCAAACCCGCGGCCTTCTGGTTTGCGGACGATGCCCAGCCCACCGAGGCACCCGGCCGGGGCCCTCTGCCCATTTTTAGTTGGGTTGCTTGCCTTTCTGTTGCTGAGTTGAAGGGGTTCTTTGTGTGTCCTGGACGTGAACCCCGTGTCAGACACCGGAGGGGCCGTCCCACTATCCGGGCCACACCCTTTGGTGCACAAATGTGTGACGTTCTGACGGAGTCCGGGGTGGGTGTTTTTGCGTCCCTGAGCACGTGTCTTCACGGGGAGACGGGGTGCCACGTTGTTGTGCTGGTTTCGTGGGTGCACACTGGCCTTGTGTGTGCAGCTGATCAGCAGTTTCTTTTCCTTTCTTTTTCTCTGGGGAGCGTCTCCGCGCTCTTTTGGTTTTCCTCTTCCCGTTAGTTCCTCTCCCTGTTTGTCTCAGTCACTCTCACGCGCGATGGCTCTGGGCTTGGCTTGGGGCAGAGTTTTTTTCTGCAGAAAAAGTCTCCGTGCTGAGGCACGGGGGTGTACGGTTGCTGGGATAATGCTCGCCCCGCCCCCCGCCACCATGCCAGCGTCCAGATCCCCACACCTGGGACTAGGTTCGCTTCCCTGGCGGAAGCGGCCTCGCGGGTGTGATGAGAGGAAGGATTTGGGGCTGGGGGGTTCCTCTGGCCTAGTCCCAGGACGCGCGTGGGAGGGGCTCCCCACCACGCTGGCCGGAAGGTTGCATGGAGGGGCCCAGCCCTGCACCCGGCACCCGGACGCTCGCCCAGCGAGACCCGTGTCAGACCTTTCCCCCACGGAACTGGAAGTTGATAAACGCGTGTCGTTCTAAGTCACTACCCTCGTGGCCGTTTGCCACGTCAGCAAACGGAAAGCCGGCCCTGGCCGCCTGGCCGGGGCTTTTCCGGGTGCTTTCCTCCCGGCGCGCAGCTCTCACGGGCCGCCAGCAGAGGGCAGCAACGCCCCGCGAGCCAAACCAGAGACGGGCACCCCAGCGGCTGGGGCTGGCTGGTGGGATCGGCACAGCCGGTGGGGACCCTGGTTGCAGTTGCGGGGGAGGGGGCTGACCAGAAGGGAGCACCAGCGGAGGCTCCTGAGGTGCCGCGACGCTCTGCTTGAGTCCTGGCTACAGAGCGCTGTTTTTTTTTGTTGTTGTTTTTTTGCTCCTTGGAAGTTGTACATTTAAGAGAGTTTTCTGTGTGTTATACTTCCATAAAAGTGGCTGGGGGGGGCAGAGAGGGTAGGGATGGGGTGCACAGTGAAGGGGACACAGTGAATAAGTAACGGCAGAGCGGGGGGAGCCAGGCCTCAGTTTGGAAGGCTGCCTTTCTCCCAGGCACGTCCTGCAGGACCCCGGGCAGCCGGGCAGCCGGGGTGCGATGCCCGAGCTGGTCCAGGCCAGGGTCCCCCGGGGCTGAGCTCCTCCGCCCAGTGCTGTGGGGGGCATAGGGGTGGGCTGCTTGCTGTGGGCGCACTGGGTAGGGGCACGCCGCCTTTCCTTCCACGTGCCCCCCAACCTCCCTCCCCAGCACGCTGCCAGCTCAAACCCAAGGTCCACTCGGCCCAAAAGTGGAACAGGTCAGTCATCTGTCTGTCCGTCATCCTCCCACCCCCTTACCCATTGGGGACTGAACCCGCAGCCTTTCGGTGTTTGGGGTGACGCTCTAGCCAGCGGAGCCACCGGCCAGGGCCTGCCTGCCGCCCCCCTGTGGATGTTGAGTGACTGAATGTCCATACCGGTCTCCGTACGGTCTTGTCTTAGATGCTCAGGAGCCTTGTGATGTGGGGCACCTCCCCTCCCTGGCTCTGACCCTGTCTCCTCACCTCCCAAGCGGGGCGGAGGGTCCCCCTGTGAGCCCTCAGGCTTCTGGGAGGACCCAGGAGGGGAAAGGGCTCCGTGGACACAGGCCCCAGGTGCCGCCCTTGGCTTGGGACCAAGGACTCCGTGAGTAAGCAGAACGCGGGGAGCTTGCGGGTTGCTGAGGGTTTCCCGGGGACGGAGGCGTGCGGGCACGAGGGGGCGCCCGAGGCTCACTGCTGGTTGGCAGGGCTCTGGAGGTGGGCCACCTCAGCTAGCCACCCAGGCACCCGGGAGGCCAGTGTCCCCAGCTGACAGGGCTGTGCGGCCTGAGGTCCCTTCACGTGTCCCTCCTTCCAGGACATTCTGGTGATCCCACCGGGTGGTGGTGTGGAAACGAGTGCCCCCACCTTACTGGTGACTCTGGGTTGTCCCCAAAAGTCTTGGGGGGAAGTTTAGCTCCATGAAACCCCAGGACTGCTCTGGTGGGTGGGCAGGGGCGGGGCCCAGAGCTGGGGCTCAGGGAAGAGGCTGCTGGGAAGGTGTGACAACCCCCGCCCCAACACACGTGTACACATTCACGCACACATGCACAGACACAGGCACATGCGAACACACAAGCACACACAGAGACTCAGAGGAGGTGTCGGGAACATGCAGAACACTTCAGGTGTCTGTCATCCAGGGAAAGGGATGCCTGCAGGCCCCTCCTGGATCTGCAGCTCCACCTGCCAGGGGCTTGGGGACCCTGGGGACAGCCTCGGGAGCTTCCTGGGGCAGACTTGGGGCGTGTTCAGGGGAGGAAAGCGTCGCGCATCCAGATTTATCCGAGGGGGGCACGTCCGGCCACGGCCCTCTGGGTCTGTGCACATGCACTTGAAAAAAAATGCTTTTCACGAGAGGATTTTTGGTAATCACCTAAGTTTTAATACAACATTCAGATACAAAACCCCGTCTCGTCTGGGACGGCTTCCTGCACGGGAGAACCGAGGCGCCGGGTCGCGGGCTGCGGCCGACCCCACAGGGCGCCCTCGGACTTGGAGCGCAGCCGTGTGCTCGCGGGCGGGCGTGTCGGCGTCAGGGCCACCACACCTGGGGACAGACCCGGCCGCCTCCTTCCTGCCCGCGCCGCGGAAGCAGCTCGCTCCTCGTCTCCCTGGGCGCCCCCCGACGCCTCAGGGCCGTATTTCAGGTTAGTCTGACGGCGGCCGCCGGTTCCCGTCACCCGCCTCACCCGCGAGACCTGTTCGCACAAGCTTTTAAAAATCATAATTGTCCAACAGTAACATTCCTGTAAGTAAAAATATAGAGAAGAGTTACCAAAATAGAAGCCTTTATTAATAAAAATCTTTGGTAGTAACAGGATTTTAAATTCCTCTCAGTGGTATTTGGTTAACTAAAAAAAAAAAAATGAGACGTTCCTTCCACCTTTGAGCTACAGAAAAAGAGAAAAAAACAAAAACCAACCCTCAAATCCACCGTAGAATCGATTTAAAAAGACGACTCAATAAATATCCTAGAGCTGCAAATGCACCCCGGACGCCCAAGACTCCTAGAAACCTCTGTCTTCCCTGGAAGGGCCCGGGGGACCCCTCACTGTCAGCCCGGCTTTGCCCCCCCCCCCCAGGAACCCCAGCAGTGGGGCGGTCAGCTCACTGCGGTGGGGAGGGGTGTGGCCGGCGGCAGGGACCCCACCGGCGCCGCTCCCACGCCCTCTGACAGCCAGGCGTCCTCTCCTTCTGACCAGAGGGACTGGTGGGCCCAGAACCCGCGGAGAAGACGGTGAAAGCTGGCCCGCCTCTCTGACCCAGAGGCAGGCGGGGCCTCTGGGGGCTGGTCTCCGCGGCTCCGGCCTCCCCCGCCTCTCCGGCCTCCCTCCCGTCGCACCAGTGCGCGCCCAGGGCCCCTGAACGCCGGTGGCATCGGTTGGGCACCAGGAGGACCCGAGAGGGTGGCCCTGCTCACCGGTCCCCGTGGAGGAGACCCAGGGTCCCCAGAGCTGCCTCTGCCAAGCCCCGCCCCTGCTGTGTGTCGCCACCCCATCCCCAGCAATCATTCTGATTAACCTTGAAAAGTAAAGATAAAAAAATTCCCTGCATAATGGTTTTGTGCAAAAAACATGGGGGAGGGAGGGAAACAGAGGAAAGACCAAAAAAAATAAAAAATAAAAAAAGGTTGTCCTATCAGAAGGTGGTCTTCAAGGTTTGCTGCAAACCCAGAAGCCACTGGGTGTGGAGGGGGCGGGCGCCGCCTGCCCGGGAGAGGTGTCCATCGGTCGGCCGGTTGGTCGGGGCGCGGCGCCGCTACAGGGCGCCCGCGTGGTGCTCGGGGCCGGCCAGGCCGACTCTGGGGCTGTGGTTGTTGAGCGGCTCGTCCTTGGCGGGGTCCCTCTCCATCCACGTGTCCAGGAGCTGCTGCTTGCCCTGCTCCTCCCGCATGAACAGCTCCACCATCAGCACCTTCTCCTTGTGGATCTGCTGGCTGATGTCCTTGGGGATGTCGGGGATGACCCAGTCCACGAAGTCGCTCATGAACATGACCAGGTTCTGCGGGGAGAGGCGGCACGTGGTGGCGGGAGGGCGGGCCCCGGAGCATGCCCCGCACCGCGCTCAGAGCAGGCCCTGCGGCCCGACCCCTGCGGCGGCCGCCGGCTGCAGCCTCCCAGACCCCCTAAGCCCCCCGCTCCTGCCTGGGGCCCGTTGTACCTGGAAGACAATGACGAAGGCCAGCCGTGCCGCCAGGACGGCCCAGAAGTCCTTGGAGATGTCGTACTTGTGTTCCGACCACGGGGGCTCACGGTAATCCTTGTACCTGCAGGTGCCGGCAGGAGTTGGGGGTCTGTGAGGGGGCCCTGGGGTTCTGCGCGGTGCCTGGGGGCTGCTGACCGCCGGCAGGGCCTCAGCCGGGACAGCTGTCCCCGGGGGACAGGGAGTCTCTCTCCGTGTCGGAGGGAGGCGGCCAGGAGCCCGAGGGGCCTTGTGGAAAACGACCCCAGGAAGAGTCCTGTGGAAGTGGGCTCTGGGACCGTGTGGTGAACCCCTTTATCTAAAAAGAAGTCCCGCCCGGAACCCCCAGTGGGCCACACGGAGCAAGTGGGACTTCCCTGGCGGAACTGGTGTGGGGTTCCCTAGGCCCGGCCCCCCTGAATCCCAGGCCAGCCCTGCTGCCCACAAAGCTGCGGACGGGGTCCCCTGGACCCAGTCTGAGAGCCACCCGTCTGGTCTCCCCGCTATTTGTGGGGGAAACTACTGGAAAAAGCTAAACATTTTCTCAGCGAGGTCTGTGGAAGAAGCTAAACAGGCCATCCGTGTGGTCAGGGCCTGTCTGGCACCTGCCCCAGGGGCGTGGTGTCCTGGGCACCCCTCTGCTGCAACCTCTTGGCCCCTATGCCCTATCTCTGCACAGGGCCAGCCCACCCCCCTCCCGAGCGCTCAGGCTCAGATGCTGCCCAGAGACACCAGCTCCCTCCCACCCTCTCCCAGGGCCCCGACCGTGCACCCAGTGGGGCTGTGAACATGATTTTACTGTCTGTCCGCCCCGCCACCAGAGGGAGCACTGGCGGACTCCTAGGAGCCTCAGGTCTCCATCCCCTTCCTCCTCCACAGGGGGGCCACAGAGGCCCAGGGCGGAGCCCAAGGTCCTGTCCCACCTAGGCCCACCCGACTGCTCCTTGAATTCGGGGGGATGCTTGGGTTTAAGGGGACTGAGCCCCCCTCTGCCTTGGAAAAGCTGTGCGAATCAACCCCCGGTTCCTGGTGTGGGGCCGCAGGGACGTTCCCGCTGGTCCCTGAGAAGTTACCGCCCAGCAGGGAGACCAGGAGGGGCGGTGCCTGGCTCCGTGGGCGCAGCAGCCCCTGCCTAGACCCAGGACCGGCCACCGCCGGCCTCTCTGGGCCTCTATCGACATTCTCTCCCTCCTTCCCTCCTCGGGCATCTACTGAGCAGCTGCCGTGTGCCAGGGCCCAACCCAGGGTGCGATTCCGAAGGGGACACACAGCCCGGGCCCCTCCCCCACACGGCTTCACGTCTGGACTGAGCTGGACGGGAGGCCGAGCTGCCAACCCCGGAGACGTGACTGGGCTGGGGACACGTGCCCGGTGCCAGCTGCCAGCAACAAGCAGGTTGCGCAGCCGGAGCTCCGAGGGGAGCTGGCGGCCCGTGCCCTCCCGGCGTCAGACGCCACACGCATGCGCCCTCCCTCTTCCTCCTGCGCTCACGGCCTGCTGCGGCGGCGGGAGGCGGCGAAGTGCGTGGGTCACCCGGCAAACTCCTACGCATCCCGCAAAGCCCGCTTACGGGCCCGATGCCACCCCCGTACTGTCCTCTATCAGAGAGGACCGTATTTTTTTTTCCTTGCTTAGCTCCCCTCGGCCACCCGCCGGCTCACCCGGGCAGGGGATAACGTCCTCTCTGGGGGCGGCTGCGGGCGCGCCACGAGACCAGGCCCGTTTCAGTGCAGGGACGAACGGCAGCCAGCAGCGCCCCCGCTTGGCCAGCTCCCTCACACCCACTGCCCCAGGCCAGGCTGGGCGCGGGGCCCGCCGCCAGCTCCTCTCGGCGGAGCGGGGCAGACGCAGGCGCGGCCGCTGGAGGGCGCTCACACACCTGCAGCAGGTGATCGCGGTGATCACAGCCAAAGGGCGGGGGAGGGGAGGCCCTGGCTGAAAGCGGGTTCCCAGGAGCAGGGCAGTCTGGCTCATGGTCTCCCACCGCCCTGCGGGGTGGGAGCCACAAGACCCCTAACGCCCTGGGTTGTTGGCCTCTTCCGGTGTGGCCAGCGCACCCCAACCGACACGTGGGGCGGGGAGCTGCTTTCCTAGCCGAGGCCTGCGACCCGGCGCCTGCTCTCAGAGCCCCCAGCTGACCCTGGACACATCGGCCGGACACTCCTGAGGGGGCTTCTGATGAGAGGGCCCTACACCCCCAGCCTTCCTTCTTCCTAGTCACGCTTCCCCTGGAACTCACTTCTAGTTCAGCAGGCCGAGCTGAGTGTGTTCTTCGTGCCTCGTTCACACCGTACAAAGGTGTCGGTGCACCTGCCTGTGGTGGGACCTCTGGAAGGGACTACTGCCCCTCCCCAGGCCGCCAGGCCCCAACACCCAGCCCTCCCCCAGGGGACCGGACGGAGGGTTGGAGCGGGTCCTCCTGCCATTCCCGGGTTTACACGTCCACCTACATGTATGTTCACCTGCGGGCCCCTCCCTGACACAGGACACGTGGGCCACCACGTCACTGTTCTCTGGTTAGTCGGGCCCGCTGGGAGTGTCTGCTGTTGCCACGCCATCAGTGCTACCCACAGAGCCCAGTAGACTCGGTCCTGGGACCTTTGCCCTGACGACCGAGAGAGACATTTTTGCCACTGGGCTTGCTTGCTGTGTGCAGAGCTGCTGGGGGAACTCTGTGCCCCTCCCCCAAATGATGCCAGCGTGCAGGAAGCCAAGCTGGGAGGCAGCACCTCCATGGAGCCTGATGGCACACAGCACCTGGATCCAGCTGTGCCTGAGGCTATGCCGGGTTTCTTAGTTAAAGGAATGGATAGATCAGCTCCTACCCCCACCCAAGGACCTTTTTTCTGGAAGATGGAGCTGTTCTGTGGCTTGCCCCGAGAGAGCCCCACCTGAGCCCGGCTCTCCCAGGAAGCCGGCGCACGCAGCCCCCACCCCACCCCCTGGAGGGCGGTACCTGCAGATGTGCACCTCGTAGCCCAGGTCCAGCGGGTCGTTGGGCGCCGTGCCCTCCTGGAAGTCGCTGACGTTGAAGGAGGACAGGGTGTGGCTGACGAAGCCATGCATGGTCCCGTTCTTGCTGTACATGTACAGGTACACCAGGCGGGGGATGAAGTCGGACGTGAAGGAGATCACGAACGCCTGGGCAGGGACAGCGGGGGACGGCGGGTGAGTTGCCATGAGGTCGCGTGCCCAGCAAACACGCGAACAGTGTGTGTGGGGGGTGCTCCTGTCGGCCACTGCGGCAGCCTGGGGAGCTGGGGACACGGGGCCCCTGAGCGGGGAGGAACGCTGGCAGCCGTCTACCGGCTGTGTGGCCCTGGGCGAGTCACCCAACCTCTCTGTGCCTCCGTGTTCTCCTCCTCACACGGGGCTAACAACGCCCACTGTGCAGCCCTCGGGCCTCGCTTTCCTGGTTTGTGTGAGAGGGAGGGCGGGGGCGGGCAGGGCTCTGTCGAGGGAGCTTGGACCCCGCCCAGCGTGGGGCCGCTGTCAGCACAGGGACCCGGGGCCTCACACCCGGGGGTGCAGCCCGGCTCCGCCCCTTTGTGGGCGCGTCACCGGACCTCTGCACCTCGGCTGCCTGGCCTGCAACGTGGGGCAGTAACTCCCAGCCCCCGAAAGCTGCATGCCCACTAGTGGGCGGGTGCACTGTAGGCGTGACTCAGGGGGGCCTGCAACGTTCTAGATGCTCAATAAATGGTAGCAGCCGGCATTACCACTGTGGCTGGGCCCGAGAGTCCCCGCCTCTGGGCTGAGCGTCACATCCTGGGCACTGGGGACCGAGTCCCACGGCCTCGCTGTGACCCTGACCTGTCTGTCCCACAAGGAGCCGCCTGCCCATATGCCAAGTGTCAGCTCCGGGGGCTCGGGCTCAGCCCGTGGGTGGAGGAGGTGTCCTAGGGCGGCACTCGGGGCACACCATGGCTGCCTAGGGCTCTTGCACCCGGGACACAGCCTTGGGGGCTGAAGCAGCTGGTGGGGGCCCACCAGACAGAGCTCGACCCAGGGGGTCCAGGCCCTGGCAGTCAGGGGGACCTCGACAGGAGGTGGTCTGCTGTGACAGAGGGCTGTGACGCCCCTAACCTGCAGGTCAGAGGTGGGGGGTGGTGGCAGAAGTGGGGGCAGCCATGTCCCCAGCCAGCTAGGCGTGTGTGTGTGTGTGTGTGTGTGTGTGTTGGGGGCGGGTGGTGCTGTCAGGTTCCTCCCCTCCCTCTGTCTCAGCGTTTCCCGAAGAGGAAAATTAACTTTTAAAAAAAGAGCAGAACCCTTGCCTACCAGGGATCTCTCTCAACGTCTGTCTATCCCTTGTTCATTCTCAGGACTCCGCCGGGGAGAGAGTGGCCTTAGGGGTCAAGGTGGGCATGGTGGAGAATTTTGCCCCAGGTGGTAGAAAAGGGCCGAGGACAGCTTGCTATTCCCGCCCAGAGCTCCCCACGACCCTCAGTACGACCAAGGGACATTTCTGAAGGGGACACGCTCGTGCCGCCTTCGGCCATACCGCGTGGGAGGCAGAGGCCCCTCCGGTACCCCGGAACGGGGGGCTGGCTGCCCGGCGGCTGAGCCCGGGGTCCCGACGGCCCGAGGTCACTCACGTTGATGATGACGGCGAGCTTCCCCACGCCTCGGAGGATGTTGTACCAGATCCCTGGGGAGAGAGAAGCAGGGCGCTGAGGGCCCCCCGCCGCGGGCGGGGCGGACGCCTGGCCGGTCCCGGAGCCCATGGCGGCTCGGGCGAGCCCGTCGGCTGTCCGTAAGCCGTCGCAGCTCCCAGCGGAGGTGCTTGGAAGCGGCCGGTCCCCAGGTGGCCCCGAACAGTCCCCCGTGAGCCTGTTTATAATACTAATTGGCTCAGGTGGTGCCTTTTGTCTAGAAAGACAAAGATTCAACTTGGAGGTGGCTCCTGCCCCGAAGGGGCCATGTGAGGGTGGTGGCGCCCGGGCCCAGGACGTTTGGGGCCCAGAACGGTTCCCCAGCCCTCTTTCTGTCCCCGTACTCAGGGACAGGCCGGAAGTAGCGGTCAGCGAGCAGAGCCACGGGGTCTCGTCCTGGGCGCGCTGACGTGGCAGCAGTGGGGTGCAGGCCGTTTGCTGCGGCACCTGAGCCCGGGTGAGCGCCTGGAGAACTGCAGGTCCCTCCACGGGGCTCCTCAGCAGCCGGGCCCAGGGCGGGAGCCCCTTAGCCGAGGGCCGGAGCAGGCTCTGCTTGTCAGGGCCTTGATGTGTGTGTGACTCCAGGGAAGGGCCAGCACCCCGCCTGACCCCTCCGCACCCTCACGGAGTCTTATCAGCCCCGTCACCGAACCAGATCTGGGCGGGACAACCCGCCTTCCCAGAAAGGGTGCGAGAGGGCCGGGGCCCGTTAAGGTGTTACTGTCATTGCTCGGAAACAAGGCGGGCGGGGCACCTCCGCCCCCGGTGGAGGCTGCGTCCCGCCAGGGGAGCGGTGAGCCCCAGGGCGCCTCCCGGGCCCTGTTCTGGGGGTGCACGCGGGTGGTCTGCAGGGACCCATGTTCAGGCCCACGTGGCCCGGAAGTTCGAAACCACGGGTAGCAGCCGAGGTCGGCGTGCGAGGTGCTGGGTTCTCACGCCCCCGCCCCCGCCGATGAAGGTGCCGGGGCAGCCGCACCCCGTGCCCGTGCCCGAGCGGGCAACCACGCCGTGCCACGTGAGCGCTGAGCCAACCCGAGAAAACAGTTCACGTGGTTTCCCGCTGGTGGGAACCGTCACGTGGCTCGTGGCCGGGAGAGCAGTCCTCAGGCACGCGGCCCACCTGCGGGGCCCACCTGCGGGGTCCGAGCTGCAGACTCGCGGTGCGGGGCCACAGGTGAGCCCGGGCGCCGTGAGGGCTCCCGTGGGAGGGAGCGCCTGCACTCGGCACGAGGAGACGGGTCTGTGGCTGGGCCAGGTGGCCGCCCAACCCACCAAGCAAAGTGATGGGGGGCTCAAATGTTGGAAACATTTTAGTGTCAGGTGAGAGCCAACAAGCTGAGGAATCGATGCATGGAAAAGCTTTTGTTCCAGGAACTGGAGGTGGGGCCCACCCTGACCCCGAGATTGTGCCTCCGGAGCTCGGGCGCGCCCTGGAGACGGACTCGGACTCAGAGCCGCTGCGCCCCGGGGGGAGCCTGCCCCAGCCCAGGGCACAGGGGACCCAACGCTGCAGCAGTTATCCGACTACCGTATTCTTCAGACCGTAAGACGCACTAGGTTTTAGAAGAGGAAACATAGGGGAAAAGTCTTTGAAGCAAAAGATGTGGAACGATCTTTAATAACATACATCACATAATATTTCACCAATGTAAATGTAAACAGAACTCAACAGCAGCATTAACCACCGTCATTCCTCCCAAATTTGGGGGGGGGGAAGGCATCTTATAGTCTGAAAAATACGGTAACTTCTCCCCTGCGTTCCGAACCCCTCACCCTCACCTACACTTCTCTTCTCCTTGTCAAAAGGGTTGGCTCAAAACGGAGCTCAGGGCGGTCCGCTCGGGTGCAAGCCCGCCCTCTCCTCACGCCGCCACCACCCAAGTAAAAGCGCCCGTGGAGAGTCAACCCTGTCTCTTCTTATGGGGTCTGGCAGGTGCCGGGCAGGCTGGTCACTGGCTTTCCTGGGTTCAAAGGGCACGGCAGGGACTGGGGTGGGCCCGTGAGGGTCCCCCGGAGCTGGGGGCTCAGCCTGTCCCACGAGGGCCGCCGGTGCTCACGGGGTGGCCGGTGGTCCTGGGCGTGATGCCTGCTCCGGGACCTCAGGGCTGGACCCCAGAGCAGCCCCCCTTGCCGGTTACTGGACTGCACACTCCTCGGGGGCGGGGGGCGTTGCTCCGAGGGCGTCCGGGAACCGGGACAGGGGGGCGGAGGGCGACGGTCATGGGGGGAACCTCTCAGGGGAGAAGCCTCCTTCAAGGCGCCACCCCCCCACCCAGGGACGCTGAGCCCTGTTCCCAAGAAGACGGCGGGCGGTGCTGAGTGCGGGGCACGGGGCGTGGGCACAGGCCTGTTCCCCGGGGGGCGGGGGGAGGCGCTGCAGAAGGAGGCTGAGGGCAGGAAGCACGCTAATCCCGTGTCCAGGGTCAGGGCCGGGAAGCCGCAGCTGGTTCCCACGCACGCACGGGAGCACAGGGCTGGGTCCCCGCGGGGACTCGCCACACCCCTCTCTCCGTGCCCAGGCAGGGCCCTCGGGTCTGTGTGGCAGAACTTCCCCCTGCCGCCCCGCCCCTCCCGGGCAGGTCTCGGGGGCCACCGGGTCCCCTGGGGCCCCGCACAGGTCACGGGAGGAACACAAAAGCCTCTTCTAGAAAAGGTCACGGCGAAGGGGCCGCAAACAAACGGGGACGGGGGCGGGGGGGCAGACCGGGCCTTCAGCCGACCGTACAGGAAGTGGGAACCGAGGGCCGAGCTGCCAGGCCCGGGGGGAACACGGGCAGCCCCGCGCCGGACCCCCGGGGACGTGCGTGCCCGCCCGGCTCGAGGCGGGAACACGGCCACCCTGGACTGTGCGGGCGACAGGCCGCCCCGGCTCCCCTCACTCTGGTGGGTTCGCAAGTTGTAGGATGTGGCCGCAGGGGACAGTGAGGGCTTTGCCAGGCACACGGTGCCAAAGCAAACCGTGGACCTGCCCGGGGCCTCCGGGTGCCCGAGAATTGGGCCTTTGTGAGGCTGGAGTGACAGGTGGACATGCTCTTTTCCTGGCTGCCCGGGGCCCGGAGCTCCGGGTTTCCTGGGGACGGTCCGGGGCGTGTCCGGCAGCCAGCAGCTGTCCCTCTCCCGGCCTCGGGTGCAGCGACCCTCTGCTCACAGCGGTGTGCGGCCCGGGGGTCCCAGCTCGGCTCTGTCGCCCACCCAGCCTCAGCCTTCCCGTCTGGAGAGTGGGACCCAGGAGCTGCCCTGCGTGTCACTGCGCTCCTCCGTGGGCCGGACAGCAGCCACCCGGGAGAGGCTCAGCGCCAGAGCCGGGCCACCCTCGGAGAAGCCCGCCACCACGCCAGCTAGGTCTCCAGGGAGCTGTGCCCGGGCGGCCCGTGAGCCAGTTCTGGCTTCTGACAGTTTAAGGGGCGAGATGGCAATGTGAGACACCCGGCCACTCGGACGCGAGGAAGTGGCCTCTGGGTCCTCAGGGACTGGAACCCCTGGGGCCTCGCAGGCAGGTGCGCGGAGCCCCGGCCCACGTGTGGGGGACGGGCCGAGGGTCAGCAGGGCCAGAAGGGCGCAGAGGGCCCGCCTGACCGCCGTTTGCAGTCGCACACAGAACGGCACAGGGACGTCCCGGGCGGGGGGAGCCGAAGTCCCCAAACACAGGGCGGCGGCCGCCCCGCTTGAGTCCCGGCCCCGACACCGCTCTCCGGGAAAAGCCGGGCCCTCTGGCCTCGCCCGGACCCCACAGCTTGAATGCGGGGCTGGCGTGAACCAGGCGAGGTCGCCGGGAGAGGACCGCGTTTGAGCTGTGGTGATGGCGGTTTCCTACAGTTCCATCTCGCCGCCGACCACACGCGTGACGGAAGCTGGACTCCACGGCATCCCGGGGGGGTGGGGGACGGTGGGGGTGGGGGTTCTGGCTGCCATGGGTCGGCCAGCAGAGGCCAAGGCTGGGGCCAAGGAGCCTCCCGCTGACGCGGGGCTGCGGACGGGGATGGGATGGCCGGAGGGGCCTTTCCAGAGGCCGCCCCCAGACCCGGGGCTGCGGGAACGCCGGCGTGGCAGCCCGACCCGGAGAGACCCTAACACTGAGCCCATGTGTGAGCGCCCTCTCCCCCACGTGACTCGATCTCTGTGGGTGCCGCGAGCTTCCCGCACCACCGCTGTGTGAGCCAGCAGATAAAACGTGGTTGTGATTCTCTGTCTCATTTCACGATAAAAATCCCAATACCTTTTTTTTCCACCCTGAACACTGGGTCCCCGTTTAAGTGGATTGACTTTAAGACGAGACGGGCAGGGTGCCTGTTGGGGTGAGCTGGCCCTGAGCCCTGTCACTCGATGCCCGCACCTCCCTCACCACGCCCAGATGGACCAGCACCCACATCTGCTTGAATGCTGCTGGTGACAGGGAGCTCACCGCTCCACAAGGAAGTCTGCTCCCCTGTTGACACCTCTGACCATGAGGAAGTTATCCCCCGCCCCGTGCTGCCGTGACGCATGGCCTCCCCCCAACCCCTCGTCCACATGGATGAGGAAGGAGCCCCCCAATGGCCTGGGTTGGAAAGCCCGGCCGCCCCACTGCCCGGGCCCCTGGGGGTGCTGCTCTTCCTTTGCTTTTCTCCCCCCACAAACATTCAACGATTAAATGGCTCCTGGTGGGGAAGGCGCTTGTTAAGCAGCTGACGAACAGGAGCCTCCCCATTGGTCTGGCTCTGTGCTTGGGGAGCCGGGGGGCGGGCCAAGCGGGGCGAGGGCAGTGGGCACACAAACGCCCTGTGTGCGTGGGGAGGGACGTGGAGGACCCTCCGGCGGCCAGGGCGGCTTGTGGGCCTCCTGGGGCAGTGGGTGGTGGGACAGACATCAGGACCCTAGCCCAAATATTCTGGTGGCTGACACATCTCGGGGGTTAGGAGCTCGGGGTGGGGGCGAAGGAGCTGCGGGGCGTTGCACCACTCCGCCCCCAGTCCCCGAGTCCCCGTCCAGGCGAGGTGCAGCGAGGAGCCGTGGGGACCCCATGCCGGCTCCTGCTCTGCTGGCTCCGGCTCCGGCGCTCGCGGCCACAGAGCAGGGTCCTTCTCCCAAGCCCAGCGCGCGCTCAGAACCCGCCCCGCGGGTCACTCACCGATGTCCTTGGCCCTGACGGCCACCGGCCGGCGCAGCTCGGTGACGAACTTCTTGGCGTCCAAGCGGATCTCGATGATGTTGTTCAGCAGCGCGAACAGCGGGGCCAGGGGGAAGGACGCCACGAACAGGGTGACGAAGCCGAACTGGATGACTGCGGGGGGGGCTGTGTCAGCAGGCAGGCTCTGCGCCCGCTCCCCCCGCACCGTGGGGCCTCCCGCACAGTGGTGGCCCCACCCCCGTGTGCTGAGCCCTGTGGCGGCCTGACCTGGGTCCGGCTGGCGCCCTGCCTCCCGTGTGCTCCCTGCACACGCGTGGGGCGGCGACCCCGGCCGGGAGGGGCCTGGGGAGGAGGACGCACGTTTTGCCTGCCTCGCCCTGGGACGCTTGCACGGCGGGCGTGAACTCACATATCACACACCCGGTCTCAGCACGCAACACAGAACAGTACTGACTGTGAACTGCGGCCGGAAAATGACCCAAATCGGCACTGGGGAGCAAGCCCCGAGGACAGCGAGGCCCAGCCCCCGTCGCCCGTGTCCGGGTGGGGCGGCACCTCGCAGGGGCCCCTCACACTCCCGCCGCCCAGAGGTTCCTGGGCTCGGCGTCCGGCCAGCGTCTCCCTGGGTGCCCAGCGTTCCTTCCCTCAGGCCCCGGCCGCCGGGCAGGGACCACCGTCCCGGACAAGGTCGCCCGCGCCCCACCCCCCTTCTCCGTGTCCTTGTCCCAGGCAGGGCACCTCTGCGGCTTCTGTGCCTGGGATATGTGGCCCCGGCACCGGGCCGGCGACCAGGAGGGGACAGGAACAGGTCGCCAAGCAGAGCCGAGCGGGGCGGCTGGCTCGGGAAGTGGCCAGCAGGCCCCGTCCATGGGGCCCCGTGCCAGGCGGTAAACAAGGAAGTGACAGAATGTCACCCTGTGCCTGGTCAGCTGAGTGTGACCACTGCCAGCACAGTGGGTGGGGTGTCCGTGTGGCCTCTGGGCTGCGGGGGGTGTCTGCGGACGCCGGTCCCCTCTGAAGGCTCCGGGGGTGACAGGGGCCCTCGGATCAGCTCAGCAGGCTCAGAGGGGTGGGGGGGGCACGGGGATGGGAGGGCGGCCGGAGCCTGGGGGGGGCACTCCTGGTCCGGCCTTTGCTTCCCGCGCATGGGTGCCTGTGCGGGCCACGGGCCCAGCCGGGTCGGCCTCGAGGCGGAGACAGGTGGCAGCCGTGGCGGGGTGGCAGCCGTCGGGCCCAGGCTGCACCCTGGTGCTCGGGTGAGGGAGGGAGGTCTGGAACCCTCAGACGGGGGCTCCCGGAGCGGATGCCCCCGGCCACCGTGGACGGCTTGTTTTCAATGCCAGTTCCCTGGCCCATCCCTGGTGGCGTCCACTCGGGGACTCCCCTTTCCCTTAGCCGTTCACTCGGCAAACACGCATTGAGCGCCCACTGTATACCCGGGCCTGCTCTATGTGTGTGTGTGTGTGGGGGGGTACGCTAGAAAGGAACAAGGTGAGCGGATGACGTCACATGGTGAAGGGACACAGAGCGGGGAGGGGGGAGCGCAGCAGCTGTGCGGGGGAGGGGCCGCCCTCTCCGAGCTGTGGGCAGCGGAGGCCCCAGTGGGCAGGGAGGCCCCAGTGGGCAGGGAGGCCGCACTGGGGCGGCGGATACTCTGAGCAGAGCCCTGGGAGAGGGAGGGAGGAGTCGGGCAGGTGTGAGGAGCGAGCGCTCCCGGCACGGCCAGTGTGAGGGCAGCGGCCACCGGGTCTGGCAGGGGGGCCCTGTGTGGCCGGGCGGAGGGACAGGGCGGGGGGACAGGGGACAGAGTCAGAAGGGCCCCCCCCAGGGGGGGGCTGCCCTGTGGCTGCACCTGGCTTCTTCCCAGTGGCCCCTTGCTCTGCCCCTGGACACGGGCGGTCCCCGGGCCCCGCCCCCTGGTGTGGGAGGCCCCCCGCCCCCCGGCCAGGCCGCACTCACTCATCTCCATGTACTCGGGCGTGAGGCCCGCGAAGGGCTCCAGCGTGAAGTCCACCTCGTACCGCTGCTTCCGCTTCGCATGCTCGTCCGACGGGCTCTGCTGCCGCAGCCTCAGCGAGCGGATGAGCTTCTTCATCTTCCTGGAGGAGACCCGCGCCCCTCAGGCAGCCGCCCCGGTGGGTGGGTTCCGGGGGCGCGGGTCTGTGCCAGGCGCCGGGGCACCCTGGGTGGTCGCACCGGCCTCGACGGCTCCGGCCGTGAGCCCCGCTGCCCTCTGCCCAGAGGCAGGGGGCGAGAGTCGTCACCGTGCTTGTGACACGAGGAAACAGAGGCGCAGGGAGGGTGACAGCCACCTCACCTCGCGGGGAGGCCCCGCGGGGGTCGGCCGGCCGGGCCCAGGTGCACTCTGGGAGGCCGGCAGGGGAAGTGGAGCAGGGAGAACCGCCCCAGCTGTCCCTGGCCCCAGAGGGCCGGCTGCCTGGACGAGGGACGGGGCCGCGGTTCCTGAGGGGAGCCGGTGTCCCCCCCGCCAACCACAGGAGGTGGCACATGGATCTGGGGTGCCCACTGGTGCCCCCCGCATCCTTGGCCGGTTGGGCGCAGAGTCACCGGCCCCTTCCCCCCACGGCGGGGTGGCTGCTGCCCCGGCCTCCCCTCTGTCCTCGCCTCCTCCCTGTGCCTGGGGCCCCCCTTCCGGTCCAGGCCCCGCCCCCCGCCCCCCAGCCCCGCGTGGCGGGGCGGCGACTCACGGGATGCCGATCTCGAACAGGTTGTTCTGGATGAGCTGCTTGCCCAGCATGATGATGCTGAGCTGGATGCAGAGCTCCATCAGGCAGCCCCCCGGGGCGCACTGCGGGGTGGGCGGGAGGCAGGCGCGTGAGTCCGTGGACCCCAGGGGTCATGGCCGCAGCCCCCAGGGAGGGGAGCCCAGCCCTCATGGCGGGGGGGGGGCGGGGCTGGAATGTGTCCTGACAGAGACAGGCCCACGTGCCCATCCCGGCACCTCAGAACGGGGCCTCGTTCAGACCCGGGGTCTTGGAGGATGTGAGCCAGTCACGGTGAGGCCCTCCTGGGCGGAGTGGGCTCAGCCCCCCTGACCGGTGTCCTCATAACAGGGGGGTCGAACTCCTTGTCACCGGGGGCCACATCAGCCTCGCGGTCGCCTCCAAAGGGCCGAATGTAACTTTAGGGCTGTGTACACGTAACTACCCTTAACAGTTAAGCGAGAGCTCAGCGCTGCCGCCGGGCAGAAACAAGGTGGAGGGCCGGATTCAGCCCATGGGCCTTGTGTCTGCCGCCTGTGCCTTATAAGTCTTAAGAGAAACAAGCACCCACCCCTGGCTGATGAGGCTCAGTGGTTTCAGGGCCGGCCTGAGAACCAAAGGGTTGCCGGTTTGATTCCCAGTCAGGGCACATGCCTGGGTTGCTGGCCAGGTCCCCGGTAGGGGGTGTTCAAGAGGCAACCACACATGGATGTTTCTCTCTCTCTTTCTCCCTCCCTTCCCCTCTCTCTAAAAGTAAATAAATGAATAGTTCTAAAAAAGAGAGCAGCAGGCACCCAGAGGAGAAGGCCAGAGTGATGTATCTACGTGCAAGGGAGCGCCTAGGGCTGCCCCGGCCATCAGGAGCGGGGGCGTGGCCTGGCAGAAGCCTGCCCATGACTTTGGCGGGGGGTGGGGGGGGCATGCAGCCCTGCGGACCCCTTGACTTTGGACTTCAGGCCTCCGCAACCGCGAGAGGATTGGTTCTGCAGTTCTGAGCTGCCGGGGGGGGGGGGCGGGGGGGGCGGGGGGGCGCAGTTTCTGTCTCGGCCCTCCAGGGAGCCGACGCCCTGGCGGCGGGCTGCGGGGCTGGGACCAGGCTCACCGGGAGGGGGCGGCGCCCAGGCCAGTGCCCTGCCCGTCCCCTGTGCCGGCTGCCGGTCCGCAGAGCCCGCTCGGCCACAGCAGGCTGGGGCTCGCGTGGTTGGCAGCCTTTGTGGTGGGACAGCCGGCCACGCTCTAAGCCTAGTGCCCCCGTCCTTGGGGGGGGGCCCGGGGGGCCTCAGGCTTGTGTGGCTGGGCAGGTATGATGGGGGAGAAGCTGAACTCGCTTGAGATCACAGAACTCGGGGTTACACGGGGTGACGCCCTGAGGACAGACGACCCCTCTCCGAGTCCCTAGCAAATCGTTTCATATTGTTGCCTGAAAGTTCATCTTAGAGAGCCGTCATCTCATGAGGAAAAAAACGATGGTACCCTTCACTCTGTTCTACAAAGGCATGTCCCCAACCTCTCCGAACGCCAGAGTCTGGCAGGGCACCGTCTACGTAAATGGCGCGTCACCACGAGGCAGTGTTTGCTGGGTTTTGGTGACACGGGGACAAGGCCCGTGTCTTGGGAAGTTTGGGGCCCAGCACTCATGTGGAACCTCCGGGCCGCGCCCCAAGCGGCTAGACTGCCCTGCCTGTGCCTGAGGCCCACCCGGTCCTCTCTCCCTGGGGCCACAGGGTCTTTATCGGGAAGACCCGGCCCCTTCCTTTCCGATAAGCTGACTTATTCTGGGAGCTGGAAACGCCCCCCGGTTCCTGAGACCGGAGCTGCCGCCGGCTCTGCAGCCCTGGCTCGGGCCGGGACTCGGTGCGGTGGCGGGCGGCGGGCGCCCTGACCAGGCCCGCGGTGGCCGGAGTGCTGCGTAGGGGCCCGAGGTCACCGGCACGGTGTCGGGGGGGCGGGGGGAGTGGGCATTTCAATGTTCAAGTTAAAAAGAGGTGTCTGGGTTGAGTTTTCTCCTTCTCTGAACTGGAGAGAAAACACGGAAAGGCTAACGGAAGAGGGAAAAAACCTGCCGTCATTGTTCCCGTTCACTGACTGGGGAGCCCGTCTCCTCCGGGGGACTCCGGTGGGGCCACACCTAGCACCCCGAGAGCGGCCCGCCCTGCGGGGGAGGCGGGGGGAGTTCCCACGGGAAGGGAGGGGACGCTGCCCCGATAAGGAGTCGGCGGGCGGCCCCGTGGGCTGAGGGGACGGAGCGGGAGGTCAGGGCGGCGTGGCGCGGCGGGCAGCCTCACCTCTTCCATGCGGAAGGACCGGAAAATGTAGACGTAGTCGCCGGGGCGTCCCACGAACCTGTGTGGGCAGGGAGGGGGTCAGAGGGCGGAGGCCGGCGCGGGGCACCCCAGGGTGGGGGCGAGCCGAGCTGCACGTCCCGGAGTGGGGGCCTTGAACGGGCCTTTCCCTGCCCTTTCGATGGCTAAAGCCCGACCTCGGCATTTTCTGTGGGTGCTCACGTGGGTCCCAAACCCACACGGGGTGAGATGTGCTAGAGGAAACCAAGCAGCGGAGGAGTGGGGTGCAGACGGAGGGAGCCCGGGAAGGGACTAAGGCCAAGCTTCTGGAGTGCAGACCAGCCACCCACCCTGGCAGGACCGCCGAACCCTGGGGAGCCAGGACAGGCTGGGGTGGGGCTGGCCCTGGGGCCGCCTCTCTGCTTCCCGAGGGGTGTGTGGGGTGGGGGGCCCTCGGGGGGCCCTCCTTGTCACGGGTGCTCTCGGGGACCTGGGCCCTGGGCCGGGCTCTGGGGCCCTGGGGAGGGAGAGAGGGAGGGCAGCTGTGGGTCTCGTGCATCATGTGACGCCGAGGACGGAGCCTGCGGCAGGGGTTCTGGGTCAGACCCGCCAGCCCCAGCCGGCGGGTGGCCGGGAGCCTTAGTGGGGGGCCCTGGGCCCCGCCAAGCCCAGGGTGGGGGTGCAGGCACGGGGTCAGCCTGCCGCCAGCATGGAACAACAAGCCGGTCAGCAGATACACTGCTTACGCCCTCTCCCCTCCTGAGTCGTCCTGGCCCACTGTGGGAGCACCTGGGGCTCGCTGCCTGGGGTCCCCCTGCCCACCAGGGTCCTTGCTCCCCGGGGTCCCTGCTGCCTGGAGCCCCCACAGGAGCTCGGACCCTTACAGGGCTCGGCGGCCGTGAGAGCCACACGGACGGCTCAGTCCTGGGCCGGGGTGCCCCCACCTGTGTGCAGGACCCAGGGAGGGGAGCACCCCCCCTCTGTGGGCGAGGGGGCACCGGGGAGAGGGAGAGGCCGTGAGGTTCCGCAGCAGGGCGGTGCCTACCGGCCCTTGAAGAAGGCCACGTAGAAGATAGGGGTGTAGGAGTTGACGAACTTCAGCAGGAAAGCCTTGAAGATCAGCCTCTCCTCGAAGCTCTTCTCGGTCTTGGGGACCTCTGGAAGGAGTGAGACGCGCGCTGCTGAGGGCCCCGCTGGCCCCTCCTCTCAGCTCGCGCCGGGGCGGGGCTTGGCGGGGGCGGGGCTTGGCGGGGGCGGGGCGAGTGGCTAGCCCAGGGCCCCACGGCGGGAGGGGGCCGACTCGGAGCTGCCCCGGGCCACCCTGGGGGCCGGGCGGGGGGGCAGGCACTCACCGATCTTGGTGAGCCACCGGGCTATGCAGCCGTACACCTCGTCCAGGAGGATGATGACCACCAGGTTGATGATGACCGCGGTGGCCGTGACCGTGACCCGGATGTTGGACCGCACGGACGGGGAGGAGTTCATGGCTAGGGCGGCGGCCGTGGAGATTCTGTAGATGATGACGCCGAGGACGATGGCGAAGGTCACCGCTATCTGCAGAGAGCGGGGGGGGGGGGCGGGGGACGCCTTGGCAGGGACACTCGGGTCTCCCCGGACCACCCCTTCGGCTCCCCCGGCCCGGCCCTGCCCCCTCAGCTTCAGAGCGGGGCGACCGTTTGCTGTGTCCCCCGCCACACGCCGGGGCTCTGTGGCATCGACGTCCGGGGCATGGACGGGGGACTCGTGTCCGTGTTACAGAAGACACTGAGCGTCAGAGCGGCCAGCTAACCAGGCCGGGTCACCCAGCCCCGGCGCTGGGACTGGCCAGCTCCGTGCGATGGAGGGGGGCCACAGTGTGGGGGCGTCTCCCCCAGCCTGGTGACGCGGCGGAGCGGTGACAGTCTCGGGTGGGGTGCAGATTGATTAAAGGAGGCACTGGGGGTGGGTGTGAGGCGGTCCCCCCCAGGGCGGCGCTGCCACAGGCCTGCCTGGGACGGGCAGGTCGGGCCCCTCCTCTCAGCCTCTGCGGGGCCACCAGCACCCTTGCCCCCAGGAGCGAGCCTCTCATGTTGTCAGACCCCCTGACGGGCTGGATGGTTCCGTCCCACTCGGGCTGGTGGGTGCCTGCGAGACGGGCGGGGGCCAGCGGCGATGACAGGTCTGACCCGTGTGCGGCCTTCTGTCGGCCTGGGCACCTGCCCCGTTTGCTCGGAGACCCCAGCTCGGCGGGAAGAGCCCGTCCTCGCCCCGCCCCCGCCCCAGGAGTGAGGCCACCTGCGAACCCCAGCCCCAAGGACACACCGCGGGGTGCAGGCTCCACCCTCTTTCCCGCCCCCTGCCGGCTCCACCCTCTTCCCCGCCCTCGGCCCCGCCCTCTCCCCCGCCCCCCGCCGGCCCCACCCTCTTCCCCGCCCCCTGCCGGCCCCACCCTCTTCCCCTCCCCCTGCCGGCTCCACCCTCTTCCCCGCCCTCTCCCCCGCCCCTGCCGGCCCCGCCCTCTCCCCCGCCCCCTGCCGGCTCCGCCCTCTTCCCCGCCCCCCCTGCCGGCTCCGCCCTCTTCCCCGCCCCCCTGCCGGCTCCGCCCCCTTCCCCACGCCCTCTTCCCCGCCCCCCCTGCCGGCTCCGCCCCCTTCCCCACGCCCTCCCAGTGCCCGAGTCCTCACACGCCGGCTCCCGTTAAGGGTGCGGCAGGCAGGCCCCATCCCTGCCGGGAAGGTGCCGCGAGGCTCTGGGGACAGCCCTGGGGCGGCACGGGGACCCGCTGTGCGTCCTCGCAGCTCGGAGAGGCTGCGGGTGGCTCCCCCCACGGGGGCCCTGCGGCCATCGGACGTGACCTAGGACAGCTCTTGTTCTGAGCTTCGGGCCAGTGGCTCTGCTCCTGCTGGTGCCAGCAGGGTGGCCACATCCTGCCCCAGGGAAGGTCCCCGGCCACACCACGCCCTGTGGAGGGGCGGCCGTGCTGAGGTGCGGGTGCCGCTCCCCGCCGGCCCTGGGAGCCAGGCTTTCCTCGGAAACCCTTGGCCCCGGCCCAGGGGCCCCTCCCAGGGGAGACGCCGCCCCGGCCCGGGAGATGGAGGTGCAGACAGGGCGGCTGGCCCGCAGGGTGACTCAGCCCGGCCCCCCTCGCCCAGCCGGAGGGCTGGCGAGTGCCCATGGCATTCCTGGGTACGATTCCCCCTGGATGGAAAGAGCCGCCAGGGCCAGGGTTTGGCTGGTGCATTCGCCCCGGTGTCTGAACCGGGAATACGGGGGCACGTGGTCGGCGTGCAGCCATGGCTCGGTCAGTGAATGGGGCTCCTGAGCGCAGGACGAAACTCACGGATGGGTCTGCCGGGGTCGCCAGCACATCAGGCGCCGGCCCCTTCCCTACCCACTCTCTGCCTTCGCTGGGAGTAACCACGTGCCCAGGTCCCGGCTTCCCTGGAGCTAGGGGTGGCCACAGGAAAGGGTCCGACCAGTGAGAGGCAGGCGAGGTTGTGGGCAGGCCTTCTGGAAAGTGCCTTCAGCGAGGGGCTGCCTCTACCAGCATTGTCTCCTTCCCCTTGGCCCTAACCCTTCCGCCTGGCTGGAAAGTGGAGGTGATGTTGGAGGTGGAGCAGCCGTGTTGTGACCACGAGGAGGCACGGGGTAGGTGGGAAGAAGGTCAGAGGAACCGGGGTCCCTCAGCAGCACAGAGCTGCCAGACCAGCCCTACCCTGTCCGCCTCCTCCCTTGGTATCACGTGAGGAACCTGAAACTCCTTGAAGGGACGAGGCAGTGACGTGTCACCCTCGGGCTCCTTGCAGTGGTGCAGAAGGGGGCCCAGCCGGCCCCCCGCCTCCTGCCACCCCTCACTGGTCCTTCTGCACGGGCACTGCTGCTCTGCCAGGCGCCTGTGTCTCCCGTTTCCCACGGGCATCCCCCGTGAGGTGAGCCCTGGGGGCTCTGGGGGGTACCACGTCTGCCTGCAGGGGACGCTCCTGGGCGTAAGAGGCGTGTGCTCCGGGGCCCTCAGGACCAGCCTGGGCCCACTCACAACAGGGGCCCCATCGAGTTGGCTCCCTGGCCTCGGGGGTCCCCACCCTGGGTTTCTGTACAGTAGCCGAGATCCCCCTCTTATGGTGTGTAAGAGCACGAGGGGAAGCGGAGTCTTTACCCTTCCTCCGATTACTCGGGTGAGGGGGCCTGCCCTCACCCCAGCCTGGAAAACCAAGACGAGCCCCGGCTCCCCGGCTCCAAGTTCAAACAGAGCCGTGGGCTCTGGGCAGACGGCCCTGCTGGCACCTGGCCCCGACACCTGCTGGCTGGTGGTCTGGGGAGAGGCCAGACCTTCAGGCCTCAGTTTCCTCCCCAGCTGCAGGGGGTGCTGCCGGGACAGGCAGGTCGTGAGGACGCAGGGAGATGCCCCCCAGGGGGCCCTCAGCCCACAGCAGGGCCCCGGGGGCCGGGAGCTGGGTCACAGGGCTGGGGCCGTGCAAGACTCTAACAGAAAGCTCCAGGCTGGATGCAGGGACAGCTGTCTCTTCAATGACCACAGGTGGCCCTGGCCTCTTGGGGGAGGGCGAGAGGAAGCACAGCTGGCCAGGGGCGGAGGCCTGTCCCCATCGGGCTAGAGCCCCACAGAGAGCTGAGGTGTGGCCGGTGCCTTCTGATCAGCGGCCCCGAGCCACGGCCCGAAGTCCCCCGGGAGGCATCGTCCTGACGTTGGTCCTATCTGTGCGTTATTTATTGATGTGTAGTCATTCTCTGTAAAAGCGTCTCAGCTTTGGCTGAAGCGCTATCTGGGACCTCTGGGTTCGAGTGACCTGTCACTTAAACGTGCCACGAAAGGCGTACATCAGGGGCCCCACGATGTCACCTCAGGGACCCCAGGGCACGTGGAGCCACCTCGGGGGGGGGCCACTGGGGAACCCTGGCTCCTTCCCATTCTCAGGGCACTGTCCTATGTGAGTACACCTGCCACGGCAATGGCCGATCCCCAGGCAGGTGTGGGTTCCCCAGGGTCCTCGAGCCGGGCCTTCTGGAACTTACCATGAAGATAATGGACACCAGGTTGGTGAGGTAGGCCGGGAAGCGGTCTCTCCAGGTCAGCTTCACCTTGTCGGTCTGCAACAGGAGACAGCTCGGGGTCATCGAGGGAGCCGCCATGGTGGGGAGGAGGGTGTGTGTGCACATGAACTTGGATGTACTTAGAAACACCCTAAAAAAACACGGGCGGGCGACGAGAGAATGCAACCATCCGGGGTTCGAAGGAACGGTGGGGTTCTCGTCACCGGGGGAAAGAGGTGCTGGGGTAACAGCAGTGACAGCCGTTTGAAAATGGGAGTCCTCGCCCTGGTTGGTGTAGCTCAGTGGACTGAACACAGGCTATGAACCAGGGGGTCGCCGGTTCGGTTCCCGGTCGGGGCACATGCCTGGGTTGCAGGCCAGGTCCCCAGTGGGGTGTGTGCAACAGGCAACCACACAATGATGTATTTCTCTCTCTCTTTCTCCTTCCCTACCCCTCTCTAAAAAGAAATAAATAAAATCTTTAATAAATAAATAAAAAATAAAAATGGGAGTTCTTGGTGTTGCGATAGTAATAATGCCACGCAGCCATGCCCCTGAGTCAGATCGTTAGACCCCGTTGGCGATAAGCCTGCCTCTGGCATCCATGTATTTGGAGGGAAGTCTCGCCTCTAAGGCGAGGAGACCCAGGGCGCCTCACCCTCCGCCCCCCAGGCCGCGGCAGCTGTGTCTCCTCGGCAGCGCGAGTGGAAACGAGCAACCCGAACGAGTCCAAAGGCGGCCGAGGCGCCACCTGGTCCGCAGGCTCCCTGCGTCCGGAGGAACCTTAAGCAGAAGCTAGTCCCTGACCTGGGACGGTTCCAGAACCGGGTGGGGGTTTAAGTGGGACAGTGCAAGTACTGGGTCAGAGAATGCTGCCGAGGACATGACCCCGAGGCCCGCTGGTTCCGGGCGGGCGGCATGCGTGTCCACCAGGAGACCCGGCCCGCTGGCAGGCGGTGGTGACCAGCACGGCTGGCAAGCTCCCCCGCCCCGCGGCCCGCCGCCATGCAGTGACGCCTCCGCGTGCCCAGCAGCGGGCTGGGGGCGGCGGGGAGGCAGGGAAGCCTGGTGGTGAGCGTCAACAACACACAACAGGCAGCGTGTGTCCGGGGGAACGCAGCGGACTGGGCGTCGCCAGCGGTCGGGAGCGGCATCGCCCCGGAGCAGAAAAGTACCAATTTCACCCCCGCCATGGCGGTCTTAACCCTCTGCTTCCATTTGTTGGTTGACTCCTCCGGAGCATTCCGGTGCTTCTGGGGAGGGGGAGGGAACAAGAGAGCACCATGGGGTGAGGCGCGACCGCGCCGCAGGCCACCGTCGCCCCCTTCCTTGGCGTGCCGGCTGCCAAGGCTGATCCGGGTTCTGGGCGTTTTAAACCAGGGCTGGCAGAGCCCCACGGCCCAACAGACAGGCTGTGACACAGGTGAGGGGAGCAGCAGACGGACCAGGTCTCCGTGGAGACCCCGCGGGCTCCGTCAGGCCCACGCTCCAGCCGGCCAGCCGCTGGGACTCCAGACGGGGTTCGTTTACGCAGAGACGCCGGGTGTGCCGAGCACTGGGTGCCACCACAGAGGAAGCCACATTGTCCCGGGTCGTACATTCACGTACCAGTGACGGGGTGGGTTGATTTTACCAAAGGAATCGGTGCCCCAGCTGGGGGAAGTGGAAACCATCAAGCCAAAGAAATGGAGGAGAAAAGGAAGGGCGTGGCCTCCACAGGTGGGCGGGGCCTGGGGGCTGCACAGCCTGCAGAAGTGACCCCATACCCTGTGGCTCCCACGCGAGCAAGGGCCTCTGGGCAAAGCCACGAGGCAGACTGACCGGGCGTCCGAGGGGCCCTCCCGGCACAGCCACCCAGACCCGCTGCTGGGGCCTCGTAAGTCCCTGGTCTGCAGCGAAGGGACACGCACCGCTCAGCCTTTGCTCCCCCCGGGGAGGGGGGCAACGCCTTCCACGCTCACACCCAGCGGTGCCGCTGCGAAGCCACGGGGAGGGCCGTCCCTGGGCCACACATCTCGACACACGCGTGGGGCTGAGGATGCCTTGCCGAGCACGCAGTGGGGCTCCCAGGCCTGGGTAGCCTCGGCTGCCCCTCAGGAGGGGACGCAAGGCCCGGAAGGACACAAAGCCACACAATGGCTGCTCGGGAGCGGGGGGCAGCGCACACTGGTGCATGCACGCCTGCTGGTCTGTTACATGGAAAAGACACTCTTCTGATTTGGGGCGATGACCCGCTTCTGTGGCTGTTCTCTTTGCACCCCTGAGCCCCGCTCGGACTTAGAGTGTGCGTTCAGAGAAATGCACCCCCTCGCTGGCTGCAGGAAGGCTCAACTGAGCCCGAGACGGGCATTTTGGTGCACCTGCCTTACCCCCTAGGTGGGGAGCTGGTGATTGCGGCCCCCAGACACTAGGAACCAGCCAATGCTGTCCACAGGACACAGAGTGACAAGGCAAGATAAACCCAGGGGACTGTCCTGACCGGCCACAGAGGCCGAGGGCAGAGGGGACAGCGGACGCTGGAGCCCGGGCGGGCACCCTCCGCACCCCCAGCCTTCCAGCACCGAGGCGCACTGCCCCAGCCGCCGTCAGGCGCCCGCCAGCCAGCCAGGGCTCTCGGGCTCCCTGCCGGGCCCGGGGCCCGCACCAACCCCTCCAGACAGTCAACGCCTCTAGAGGCCTGTGAGAGCTCAGGCTGCTCACGGGACACCGCCGACTCGAAGGACAGGTTCGGGGAGAAAGAGAGGCATTTCATACCCAAAGTGGCAGGCCTCGCCGGCATCACGCACACACACACGGCACCTCTCGCCCTCGCTCTCCCTGTCTGAGAGTCACCCAAGGACCGGGCCGTGGGTGCGGGGGCCCTGGCTGGGCAGACCCTCCCGTGCCGCCAACATGGGACGCCGCGGGTGGCCACAGCGAGGGCCAAGGGCACCGTGGAACAGCAGCAGAGCCGCCCCCCCCGCCGGTTCTGGGGGTGACGGGCTGGCTGAACAGGCAGGACAGATGGAGAAGGCAGGGCTGCAGGAGCTTGGGCCAATCACGGTCTGCGGCCAGACCTGGCTTCCTCTCGTTTTTACAAATACAGCTTTACGGGAACACGCCGGGCCCGCTCGTGTCCCCGCTGTCTGGGGCTGCTCTCGAGCCGCGGCGGCGGCGGTCACTAGCTGTGACCGGGGCCTGCCGAGTCTAAACGTTTGCTGCCCGGCGCCCGGAGGCCGGCTCCCTGTCCCGCCGGTGGACGGCCACCCAGAGCCTCACTGCGGGGGAGGCGACCCGCAGCGGGCACCGCACCTCTTTGTCCTTGGACTCCTTTCTCAGCGACTTCTGCAGAACCCGGGCTTCGTACTCGGCTCTGGGATGGCCCTGTGAGGGAGAGCGAGGCCGTCGTGAGTTTGGGATGCTCGGTCCACACGCCCGCCCTGGGCACCCTTTGGGGCCGGTTCACGGCTGGCTGGTCGTCCCGTTCCCAATGCAGAGCCCGCCGTGCATGGTCTGGGCGGCAGGGTGCCCCTTGTCCGGGACCCCGGCCCCTTGGGGAGCCCGCAGAACCGGGCTCTGGGAGCTGGGGGCAGGGCGGTGGGCGCCCCGCGGCCCGCTTTCCCGCCGTGAACCCCCAGCTGTGAACCGGCCCCGAGTGTGTTCCGTCAGGAGCCGTGTGGGGGTCAGGAGAGACGGCAGTAAGTGTCAGCAAGCGCGGCAGACCACCAGAGGCGCCAGGCCCCCGGGGGCGGCCAGAGAGGGTCAGCGAGAGGCGCTGGAACGGAAGAACGGGGTTAAGAGGGGCCCGAGGGTGGGCGAAGCGGAGACCCGGCCGGCAGGGGCGCTGCGGGGGCTGAGCCGCAGAGAGAGAGACAGAGAGAGAGAGATGGCGAGTGCGCCCGAAGGTCCCGCTCCCTGGGGGACAGGCTGTGGGAGAAGACAGGGGGGTGACAAAAAGTTCCAAACCTTCACCGCCTCCTTCGGGGAACCAGAAACGTGGGAACAAAAAAACAAAAAAACTGTGTTACTTGCGTTGCTTGTTATGAGACAGGCCGCACCCTGCAACGAGACTTTCTCGTGAACCCGGACGGAACTGACCGACATGAGTGGACAAGGGGCCCTCGGGCCCGAGACCCGCCAGTGGGCGTGGCTACCTTGGTGTGACCGTGCGGTGGGTTTTGTGGCTCAGGGATTTTGGAAACTCCCGGGCGAGTGCTGCGCGAACTGCCTCCACCTGTGCGGGCCGAAGGGCACACAGGCCGAGCGGAGGCGGGGGGGCACACGGGTCCCCCACCCCGCTCCCAGGGCCAACGGCTGGGCCTCCAGCTTCGTGCACAGGCTGCCTTTCCGACTCCAGGCTCCTCCCCCAAAGGGCCCCCGGTCAGCCACCCTGAGGTGGTGGGGACACTCGCCTTGAGGACTGTGTTCAGTGCCCTTGGCCTCGTGCCCAGGGAATGCAATCGCCTGCCACCCCAAAGTCAAGTGCCCGGTCGGGGGCAGGGCGAGGAGCTCACGGGATGGGTCCCCCATGGCCTCAACAACTGGGACCGGCCCCTCCCCGCAGCGGTCCCCAGCCACAGGGACATCACGGGAGGGACCTTCTAAACCTCCTTCTACCATGAAATGACCAACTGCTTTTTGTCGTGTTGGAATTTCCTCGCTGACCCACGAGGCAGGAACCTGCCCCGGGGCTAGCTGACCCAGACTCCGCCTCGGGGGGGGGGGCCAGGAGGCCCGCCGCCCGGCTCACCCCGGAGAGCTGCGCGTCCAGAACGGGCTGCACGGGTCTTGGTGTCGCCATGTGTGACAGGGGACACTGTGACCCCTGCGGAAGAGGGCTGAGCCCAGAGGCGCCGGCCGAGTGACCGGCCACGGGGTGGGGGGGCGCTTGCCAGTGCCGGGCCCTCCCTGATCTAAGTGCACGCTCTCCGCTGACCCGCTGAGACCCCTCCGGCTCTCCGCAGGGAGAGCGATCCCACTGTCCGCACTGGAGAAGTGAGGACACCGAGGCACAGAGAGGTTAAGCAACTGGCCCCAGGTCACACAGCACAGGCAAGGCAGAATCAGGATGCAGCCCAGCAGCCCGGCGCCCTGAGGCCCCCGCCGCCCAACCACCCCTGCCACCCGGCCCCGAGTGCGGAGCCTTGTCCAGTGGAACCCATGCCCCTCACCCCCCAACAGTGTTGTCAGCCTGGTGCCTGCGTGCCAGCCTCTCCGATGGCACTGGGGTTGGCTGGAGCGTGGCCCGCAGCCTCAGGAGAGAGAGCCCTGCACGGGGCAGGGTGGGGGGTGCACCCGGAATGTACAAAACACGAAGGGAGAGACGGTCACATTCCAGTGGAAACCCACGAGGGCTTATAAAAGAGGTGAGGCATCTGATACAATGTAGCGGCGAGCAGCGTGGCCACACCTCACAGCTGGACTCTGCGCGGCTGGCTGTGGGGACTGTCCCCATCATCCCCACTCATCCCAGGACGGGCAAGGCCGGGAGCCCCGCGGAGAGGGCTCACCACTGTCCTGGGGCCCTGGGTCCTGACCGCCCCTCCTGGGGCGGCCGGTTCTCCCCCCTCCCCCCATTAGGAAAGGCTCTGCTCTGTCCGGTTCCCAGTGGTGCCGAGTCACTGGCTCTGAGGAGCGCGGCTTTGGCACCGGGGCAAGGGCTCCGGGCCGCTGTGGCCTCCTGAGCGGTGGTGATTCCCTCCCAGACCCCCCCCCCCGGCCTCCCCCGGATTCGATGAGGTCAGGGTGGTGAGCCATCCCGGGCCGCTCGAGTGGGCGGCGTGTCCCTGTGAGCAGGGAGATCGGAAACACTCGGACGGACATCAAACGGTCGCCCCGGCAACCCAGGGTGAGTCAACCGCCAGGGCGGTGAACGGAGGGAGCAGCCCGGCCTGGGCGCCAGGGCTGCGGGCTTCCTCTCAGGATGTGGGGGGGGCCCGGGAGGTCGTGGGGTGCGGGGCAGGGGAGGGCTCCAGGGAGGTGCCGCCCGCTCACCTCCTCCTCCTCGAAGCCGGTGAGGTCCCAGCGGTAGTTGAGCCGCATCTGCTTCCGTTTCCAGTGCTCCATGAAGGTGGCGGCTGCGGGTGGGTGGCGTGGGAGGAGGGAAAACCACAGAGTCAGGGGCTGGGGAGCCCCAGAACCCTGGCACGCTCCTCCCCCGCACCGTGTGCTGAGTGAGGGTGACAACGTGCCAGACTGAGAACGTCACACGAATCAGCCCCTCCAGGCCCCCGCCCCCCACACCGCCACCACCCCAAGGCAGAGATGGCCACGGTCCCATTTGATGGATAAGGACACCGAAGCTCACAGAAATCTCGTCCTCGCTGTGGGTACTCCTCCAGCTGGTGCAGGGCCAGACAGGCCAGTCCCACAGCCTGTGCTATTAACTGTCCTGTTCTGTTGATCCTGGGGACCCCCCCGGGGCACAGGTGGGGGTCCTTCACTCAGAAAGTGTGAGGGGTGGGCCCAGGCCATTCACTCAAGCTCCACACGCACGCCGCTACATCCTGACTTGTGTCCCCCACAGACTAAATGCGGCTTAAACGCCGCCTCCTCCAGGAAGCCTCTGGTCATCCTCCTCAGCATCAGAAGGGAGCTGACTCCTCTAGGAACCTCTCCTGCTCACGGCGTCCACGCTGCCTTCCACCGAGACCCCTGCCCCACGCCCAGTGGCCCTTCCGGTGTGGGGGGGCAGGGGCGGGGCCTCATTCCCCGGGACCCCAGCGCACAGCCCAGCGCCCGGCACGGGCAGGAGCTCCGTCGACAGCCCTCACGGGAGGAGCCAATGGCTTCTCTGAGCGCCCCGCCTGCTCGTGGAGCGGCCCCAGGCCGCACCCTGTACCACGAAACTCCTCCCCAGCGGCGGCCGGGGGGGCGGAAGGGTGGGTGTCCTCAAGTTAGAGCCCGGGGGTCTCGTGCTGTCACGTGCCGGGCACGATCAGACAGCTGTCACACGAGAGTGGATCTCACTTCAACCTGCCAGTGCCCCGGGGGCGGAGGCACCCTCCACTCTCCGGGTCACAGAGGAGGAGACTGAGGCTCGGAGCAGACGTAAGGCCTTGCCCCATAAGGGGCGGCGTCAAGTCTCGGAGCAACAGGGACAGGCCTCGCTGTGCGTCCACCGCCGCCCACCGGAAAGCAGAGAGGACGGGCCGGGCGGTGCGGGCAGTCTGTCCGAGTCCCCCCTGGGCTTCTCGGGGCGTGGGCCTGGGACGCGGTGCCAGGCTCCCCTGGGGAGCTTGTTGAAGCACAGGTTCCCGGCCCCACGGACGGAGTCACTCATCAGGTGTGCTGGCTGCCCACCCTCCAGGCGCGCCCTCCCCGTGCCCTGGGGCCCTGCCTGGACCTGTCCGCTCTGCGCTGTGCCTGGGCCTGGCGCTGGTGTCCCTAACCCTGGCTGCCTCTCCTCACTGGCCACTGAACCCCTCTCCTGAGCCCCTCCCCTGAACGCTGCCGCCGTGACCTTGGCGAGACCTTGTAGGATCCATGAGATGCCCTTGGCTGGGCCTTCCAGCCACTTCTGACTCCAGGAGGGTCATCGGAGCCTCTCAGCCGGCCCCGACCCCCTGGTGACCCTGGGGGCGGGTGGGGCTCAGTCACTGGGACTCCTCCAGGGCCAGGGCCAGGGCCACGGCCTCCTTACAGTGCAGCCCCGGAGTGGGGGACCGGCTCCTTGTGCAGAGGCTCCCAGCGGTCAGCCGCCTGCCCAGCACGTGGCCCTCTTCTCGGAGTCGAGAGCGGGCAGGTGTCGACTCACCCCGGACGCGTGTCGGCTCGTGAGCCTGCCCCGGCCCTTTAACTCCGGCAGAGAGCCCCTGTCCCTCTGTCCCCACCGAGCTCAGGGTGACTCAACCAGGCCGCCTGTCCACTGCACTGGGCCCCGGGGAGGGGTCTCAGTCGTGGCCCTGCCGTTTCCTGGAAGCCGGGACCGCCTTTCTCCGGCTTCCGGCAGCGGGGCTCGGACCAGGCCACCTCCCTTGTTCCGCGCCAACCGCCCGGCGGTGGAGAAACCCCTTGCTATGCCACAGTGTCAGACAGCTGATCCCGTGGGACAACTCGGGGTGGGGGGGTTGTCCTTGCTCCACGTGACACCTCCTTTGAGGCCTTGAAATGTCACACGTTCTGGACAGCAGGGAGCTGGGGTCTCTGGGGACGGAGGGCCAGCCCCGGGGGGGACGGGGTAGGGAGCCAGACCCCTCCCCCGCCACCGCGGAGTGGGAGCGAGGTACAGCAGCGGCTGCGGGCCCTGCTGCTGGGGACACAGCCCGCTCCCCTCCCGGCAGCCACGGGCGTGGGGCCGCTCCCCGGCCCCGTGCGGACAGCGATGCTGGCAGTGGGGGGACAGAGAGAGAGGGGACGTGTGGGTGCCGGAGCACCAGCGGGGAGGGGACCCCTGAGAAGGTAAGGAGCGAGCACTCGAGCACGGGATGGAGAAAGCCCACACGACGGTCTCTGCTAATTACGTCTGACGTCTGACGTCTGACGGCGGCGGGAGTGAACGCCCGGGGCAGAGGGGCCGTCCCCCCCCCCCCCCGCGCAGGGGCTGCCGGGAAGCGGCAGGCACACCTCTCAGCCCAGCAGGCTCTTCCCCGCCGCTCCTGTCCTGAGGCGCAACAACCCCTTTTGCCTAAAGGAAGTGCTCCACGGGAGTGGTGCGGCTCTTTTGGTATTTTTCACCCCCAAGGGGTAACGTGTAGACTGCCCCTGCACTTGACTCTGACAGCCGGGCGCGTCTGTGGCTCCCCGGCCGGCAGGGGACCTGGAGGAGGCCCGGGGGGGGGGGGAGCGCAGGGAGACAGCTTGGCCTTCGCCCCCCTGGAGCGCGGGGTGCGGGGTGGAACCGTTGATTTTTCTCCCGAGGATGGGACTGTGGGTAAGGGCTGGCCAGCGTCTCTGAGGGTGTGCCGTGGCACCGCTCTGCACACAGTAGGTACTCAATAAAGAAGTGTGTCTCGAGCACACTGGCCACAGGGAACGGGCCGCAGCGGGTTTGACGAGTTTCACTGAATTCCCGCGGTGCTGGCTGGAGAGCAGCGTTCCTGCTGGGCGCCCCTCACTGCTGGCTCTGGGTGACTCTCTGTGCCCCGGGGGGCACAGACCCAGGCCTGCGTGGGGAGGTGTGACCTTGGGCGCATCCCTTAACCTCTCGGGGCTTCCGTGTCTGCCTCGGAGAACATGAACGGAGCCACCCCCACCTGCCCCTTGCACACGGCGTGGGCTCACTGGGATGAGCTGTCAGAGCCCCGGCCAGGGGCGGGCATACACGCAGTCCCCAGCGCAGGCTCCGGAGGGGAGGGCAGGCGTAGTGGGGACACAGGAGGGAGCTAGTCCTGCCCATACGTGAGGTGGCCCCGTCTGGAAGGGGCCAGGCAGGCGTGAGGTGGAGTGTGGCCACAGCCGGCGAGACTCACCAGTGGAGGGAGCGGGGCCCAGCGGGGGAGGACCTGGGGGTGGGGGGGAGCAGGCACTGGGGTTGCGTCTCGCTCTGCCTCTTATTAGTGGGGTCGGCTTGGGAAAGCTGCCTCCCTGTGTGCACCTGCCAACCGGGGTCACGAAGATGTCACCTCCTATAGCCACTGGGGGGACGGGTGGGCCACCCCCGCGGGGCACTTACAGCGGCGCCCGGCACACAGCGGGGGCCCCACTTGCTGAGGCCGGTGCTCTTTTGTGAAGGGAAAGTCACGTGGTCCACGGAGGGCCCCGGACACGGGGTGGGGGGCTCCATCCGGGCTCTGGTTTCCCAGGGTCTTGGCTGCTCTCCCACGCTCAGAAAGCAAGCACTCATGGAACGGACCTACCGGCCAGCTCAGCGTCATGGCCAGCTCCCGGCGAGGCCCCAGGGATGGCCCGGCGGGGACGCACCCGAGGTCCCCAGCCAGCCTGTGAGGGGCGCTACTACTCTCTCCACTGGATGGGGAGGGGGAACCTGGGGCCTGGGGAGTAGAAGCCCCTTTGCCAGAGGTCCCGCAGCTGCAGGGGACAGCGTGGGAGCAACCCCCGGGTCTGGCTGGGGGACGGGCACGGCCCTGCGCACGGCCAACCCAGCTGAGCCCGCCAAGCGGCTCGGCCGGAGGTCCACACTGCACTGTGGGCCCGTGCCCGGCCGGGGGCCCTGCCAGTTAGGGCGGGGCACCCCGAGGCCTCAGCTGGGCCTCCTGGGCCCAGATCAGAGGGGGGCGGGCGGTACAGGGAGTGCTGCCTGGGGAAATGGGGGCTCGGTTCCTGGACCGGACCTCTCAGTCCATGCCTCCGAGGTGCTGAGGGACCCCAGGCACCCCAGGGGCCTCCGAGGGGCACCCAGAGCCTAAGGGATACTCTGCAAGGACCTGCTGAGACACGTGCCCGGGGTCAGCTCAGGTCAGGGAGGAAGGCAGGGCCCCAGGCCCTCCCTGTTCCAAGCGGCCGCCTTCCTGGGCCTGCAGGTCCTGGTCCCGGGAAACAGGTCTGTGTCTAAGAGCAAGGCACCCACCCCCCCCAGGCGTTGGACCGGGGGCTCCCGGCTGGGTCGGGGCAGCTGTCTGCATGCGCAACCCAGCTGCGACCCTGGGGACCACAGGGAAACGGGACTGTGTCCATGCCCCCCTCCCCGTGCATCCCCGGCACACGCTGCCGGTGGTCCTCCCGAGATGGAAACTAGGGGCCCGCCCCACGGCGCCTCCTCGGCCCCCGCGGCCCGGCGGGTGGGCGGGCGGGTGCTCCGCTCACCCCAGAGGACCATCAGGATGGGGAAGAACTCCCCCCAGAGGGCCATGAGGATGGGGAAGAACTCACCCCAGAGGGCCATGAGGATGGGGAAGAACTCACCCCAGAGGGCCATGAAGATGGAGAAGAAGACGGTGGCCGGGTTGTCGAAGAGGTGGCTGGCCCGGGCCGTGGCGCAGGCCGAGCTCATCTTCCAGTAGCTGCAGGTCTTGTCGCACAGCGGGCACATGGTGATGTTGTGGGACTGGTCGCACATCTCCTTGCTGGAAGACAGGGGGCGCTGAGAGTCCCGGGCGGGGACCTGCGGGGATTCCAGGGTCCACAAGGACGGGGGACGCCTCCCAGGAGGGGTGCCGGGGTGAGGAGAAGTGCTGGGCCCGAGCGGGGGGGGCCGGCGGGAGCCCCTTGGTCCCCACCACGGTGGACGCAGCCATGGCCACACCCTCCTCTCCGCCCAGGGCCAGCCTCAGAGCCCCGCCACGTGCGCCCTCACATGGGGCCCCACGCTCGGTCTCACGCTCGGCTCTACTGCCTCAAAAGCCTTCGTGACTTTGGAACAATGGTCCTGCTGCCGCTGCAGCCAGGCCTGGGCGGGACCCGCCCAGAGCTGCCACGTGGCCAGAGAGCGGCCGGTGGGCGAGCGGTCCCCTCCGAGGCGAACCCCTGGGCTGCGGCACCCACAGCCTGCTCTGGGGGCCCCTCTAGGAGAAGCCGGGGTCCCGGCCAGCCTCCCTCGGATGACCGGGTGCCGTCATGGCTCGTGCGGTGCCGTCAGCAAGGGCTGTGCCAGGCCCCGGAACGGAGAGGAAAGGAAGCAGGGTGCAAGGACGTCGCGCCTCCCCGAGCCCCCGCCGTGTGCCGGGCACCACGCGGTCTCCGCCTGTGCCCTCGGGGACACTGCGGGGTTGGGGCGGACCGGTCCGTGAGCTACAGGGGTGGCAGACACGGACTCCCTCCCGGGCAAGGGCCGGGCCGCTGTGGATGGGCGGAGGAGGGGGCTCCGTGGACCCGGAGGCTCGGCTCCTGCCCACCCCCAACACTGGGGCTCTGCCCTGCTGACACGGAGAACCACCCCCACACAAGGCCATGGGCTGGGCGAGCAGCAGCCTGAGCCTGGCTTGGAACAGCTTCGGGACTCACGGTCCCCCTTTCTCGGGTGAGGACGCAGCCCAGAGAGGGTGGGCCACTCGCTCGGGGCCACACAGCGGAGCAGGGACCGAGCCCCCGGTCTCCGTGTTCTCGAAGCCCGGGGGGCTGCACGGCCCGTCTGCTGCTCTGAGGCCGCGGGAGGGCTCCCTGCTGAGCCCAGGAGACCCCAGGGCCCCGGCCAGGCCCTTGAACCCCAAGCTGCTTCTCCTTCTGGAAGACGAGGGGAGGGGTCAGAACGAGGCCCCCCCAGCTCCGGCCCGCCCAGCTCACCCTCCGGACTTGTGGACTTGGGCGACACTTGGCACCAGCAAGGACCCCAGGCAGGAGCGCCCACTCCCTGGTGGCGGGGGGTGGTGGTCACCTGGGAGAAGCCTGGTTGGTGGGGGGCGGGGGTGTTGTTTTGTTTGTTTGTTGGTTTGTAATTTCTGGTGCCTGACTCGACGCGCAGGACCGCGCCCGGCCCACGACGGTCGGTGTTTGGGGACATCTGCTGACCGGCTCCGGGGGCCTGGTTCTGCCCTTGCGGCTGCTTATTCAAAACTGTGCAGTGGATGGCGGGCGAGGCTGATGGCCCGGAGCCCCTGGGGAACCGTGTGTGTGTGAGTGAGTGTGTGCGAGTGAGCGTGCGAGTGAGTGTGCGAGTGCGCATGAGAGTGCGCAGACGTGAGGGCCGGGTGTGTGCTGGCGGTGCAACGTGGAACCAACCAGCTCTGACTGGCATCTCGGCTCCAGCGCTGGGGGTCTCCGTGCCCTCGGGCCTTGGTGTCCCCATCTGCACCCGAGGGTGCTGACAGCGGAGTGTGCCCAGGTTACCGCTTGTGGGGAGGGTCACCCAGAATGCGCGTGAAGCCAGGCGCCACGCTGCCATTACGGGGATGAAGGCACCTGGCGGCTGCCGGCATTTCAGGACAGGAGGCCCAGAAGCCTCCCGGAGGGTTCACCTCTCGCCCTTCCCCGCCTGAGCTTCCTGTCCCCCGGGGCCCCCTCCTGGGGGGCGGGAGGACCAAGTGTGTGAGGGCCCCGGGGCCCGCACCTCGGCCACCGTGAGCCCCGCGGCTGCCAACGGCCTCCTCCCTGCCTGTGCGGATGCCAGCCAGACAAAAAGCCTTTTTTTCTGCTGGTTTGAAACCCTCTGCCTCCCCCTCCACCGCCGTCAGCCAAGATAAAGACAAGGAGCGGACGGCCTGCTCCTTGGAGCTGGCGGAGGGGCGGGTCAGACTCCCAGGGGAAGGACACCTCCCTCGGCTCCGAGACGCCAGCCGGGCAGGGCCTGCGGTCGGACGGGCCTCAGGGCCGCCCAGGAAGTGCTGTCTACCTCTCCAGTGGGATGGGAGGCGGTGCCCCGGCTGGGGACCCCACGCCTCCCTGGGCAGTCCCTGGGCTGCAGCTGCTGGCTCTGCCCCCTGCCCCCTGCCACGGGAGGTGGGGAGGTGCAGCCCCCAGCGGCTACCAGGGGGACCTGGAGGCTCCCCACCTTCCGCCGGCCGTGCCCCTCGGGGTGCAGCCCCAACCAGGCCCAGGCCACAGTCCCGCCCAAGCACAGTGACCTCACCTCACATTCACAAACAGAGGGACAAGCTTTCTCCCGCCTGCGCCCAAAATAGCCCCGGAGGGGACCTTAGCCAGATTCCTTCAGCGTCGGGTTCTGAGTGGGCGGAATATTTTAGGTGTTGTTCATGCATTAAAACACTATTTACGCGGAGGTTCCCCGGGTACGGCCTTCTGCACTGCAGGTCCCGACGAGCCAGCCTGCCCGTCAGGGGGACACTCCCTGGCTCTCCTCGGGCCGGAACGGGGACGCCTTTTCAGAGTCATGGCTCTGCTCTGGAGACGCGGGCCGACCTGACGTCTCAGGACTTCTCCCGAGACACGGGCAGCTCCCGCCGGGCGGGGCCAGCGGGCCCCCACCCCTGTAAACGCGGGTTTGCCCGTGGGCGCAGGGGCCAGCAGCCCTCCCACACCATGCACTGATCTTGGGGTCGGCGGGGGCAGGTCGAGGGGACAGCTAAGGAAGGATGGGGGGCGTCCACGCGCTCGAAGACAGCGTCCTCCAAGCTCCTGTGGCCTGACTCACGCCCTGGCCGCCATCTGGGGAGACTCGCACCCCTGCACGAGGCCGGCCTGCTTCCCGGGGCCCCAGGCCCGTGCCAGCCCCGGGTGGCCGGCCAGCCCGAGGCCACGCTCTGTGTCCAGGGCCTGCTCTGCGGGGCTGGGGGATGGAGTCCCCCGACTCAGGCTTCTGAATGTCACTCGTCTGGCTTCCTGGCCCCACAAGGAGGCAGTGAATTTCCCCATCGCGCAATTACTGAGAACACGAAGAGGGGAAAGACTTCAGAGGATGAGACGGGGCTGGGCGTCTGTGCTGTCTGCTTTCGACAAGAAAACGTCCCCTTGGGCAGGGGTCCCCAGCCTCGGGGCCTCGGACCCGGGCCGGGCAGGGCCCGTCAGGAACCTGGCCACGCGGCAGGAGGTGCGCGTGAGTGGGACGCGCTGGATTCATCCCGAAACCCTCCCTGACCCTCGGTCCGTGGAAGAACTCTCTCCCACGAAACTGCTCCCTGGTGCCACAACGGCTGGGCGCCGCTGCTGCCCGAGGGTGTCTGTGCCAGAAAAGGAAACCCACCCTTCCAGTGGCACGAGGCGCCTCGCTCTGGGCCCCTCGCAGGGGGCCCCTGGTCCTGACCGCACGAGCCGGCCTGCTGAGTCCGGTCCAAGCTGAGCGCGAGGGCCGGAGGCCTGCCACCCGGTACGAGGGGGAGTGGGGTGCGCCCGGGGACAGGGCCCGCCTACCTGGGGATGTTGTCATCCACAGTGGCGCATCCGTACAGGAACACGATGACGCCGACCACGGAGGCCGGGATGAGCATCTGGGTGTACACGCCCAGCCAGGCGAAGTACAGGCCGATCTTCTCCCCGAAGTACTTCCTGTGTCACGGGGCACAGCCAAGCAGAGACACATGTGCTCTCAGGCTGCGCCTGTGGGGAAGCGAGTCCCGTCCCCTCCTTCCCAGCTCCCCCCGCCAAGGAGCAGCTCGAGTCGGGGAGGCCCCCGGTTCTCTGGACCAAGCAGCAGGGAGTGGGTGGGGCTCTGAGCCGACCGTCAAGTTTGGGGGCGCTCTCTGCTTCTCCTACGCCCGCCCCCCTCGCCTGCACCCCGGAAGGTGGTTTGTGGCGCCCATGCCGGTGGGCAGGAGGGACGGCCTGGGAGGCTGCCCGCTCCCTTCCAAGCCCGGCTCAGCTCCGGACGGCAGGGGCCGGGAGAGCGCACCGCCCCGCTCCCTCAGCGCGCCTGGCACCGTGACGGGTTTACGTGAATTTTCACGGGCTGAGTCCCCAGTGGACACACATTCCTCAGCCTGGGCCTTCCCCGCCGCTGCCCTCCGGACAGAGGGCCTCTGCGAGGGGACACTTTCTGAGGCAGCTCTTTCCTGCTCTTGACCAGCAACTGGAGAGCCCTGCCGGTGGCCCCGCTGGGTCCAGCCGGGCTGCTCATGGAGGAGGGGGAGCTGGCCCGTGGGACGAGGGGCCCACCCTCCGGTCAGTGGGAATAAACTGCTTAAACTGGGGCCGCCGGGCCTGCTGGGAGCACCAGAGTCCCCCGCACAAGCTCCTCAAGTTCAAGCGGGTTCCCGGGGACCGGGCAGTCAGCGCCGCTGGAGCGCGCGGGGACACGGGTCCCAGCGACGCCCACAGCTGGGGCCGGGCCTCCCCATCTCACCTGACCAGGTCGATGGGCTGGTACTTGTAGAAGACCCCGTAGCTCGCCCACTCTTCGTACAGGAGCTGGGGGGAGAGCGGGCGGTGAGCCGCAGGTGACCTCACGCAGCCCCGGCTCCCACCCCAGGACACGGCCGCGCCGGTGCTCCCAGCTGGAGCGGCCCTGCGGGTTCCTTCCATGAACTCGCACTGGGGGTCGGCCGAGGGCCCGGGCCCGGGCCCGTGCCGGGCGCTGGGCGCGCTCGGCAGACCCAGCCCTGAGCCCTGGCCTCCTGTTCTGGTCGGGGGACGGGGACATGGAAAACCTGGGCCCCCGAGAAGCCGCCCTCGGTGGGCACGCAGCCCGCACCGCAGGAGGCCGGCGAGGCGGCGGTAGCGGCAGCTCCCTGAACAAGAACGCGCCTGCGTTCCTGGATCCAGGGCCCTCACCCCCGAGCCTCATCTCCTCCTTGACACTGGAGGACGCTGTCCTCCCTGCCTGGCACAGAGGACAGCCGGCAGAGCTCACGCACAGGAGGGGGCTCTGTGACAGGCAGGGGGCTGGTCCCGAGAAGGGGCGAGAAGCCCGCAGCGCCCTCCGTAAACGGGGGCGGCTCAGCCAAGCCACCCAGCCTCGGTGGGATCGCACAGCACCTCCCCAAAAGCCCAAGGGCCCTGGCTGTCCCTGCGGCTTCCTCCCCGAGACAGACGTCAGGTCGCTGATTCGTGTCACAGACAGGCTGAGGGTGCACGGGACGGAGGGAGGGAGGGAGGGAGGGAGGGGCAGGGCAGTCCCGGGAGGGGCAGGGAGAGGGAGGACTGGACTGGGAAGGGAGGGCACGGGGTGGGTGGGGGGAGAAGCCACGAGAGCCTCCCGCGGGCATGGCCATGTCACACCGGTCACCGTGTTCCCAGAACCGCTCAGGGGGTCTGGCCCACGGCAGGAAGGCCACCACCCACTGACAGCTGTGACAAATGGGGGTGTACCCGGCTTTCTACCTAAGCCCCTTCTCCGCGGCCAAATCTTCTTCCCGCCAAGGACAGACCACCAATCACGTCATTACCATTGCCACAATTCTGGGGGGGGGCCTTTCACCTGGCGAGGGGGCTGGGACACGCCAGGGCCCCGGGTGGGCCCAGTCACAGTGACCCAGGGCCTCCCAGCGCCCAGCCCTCTGCGTGATCTCGGCTCAGCCGGCCAGTGTCCCTCCTGCCCGGACCCGCACTGGGGACCCACGCTGGGCACCGACGCCGTCCTTAACGGCTGTGCACATGCCGGCCCCCAGCCGCGTTTCCCCAGAACAGAGGCCCCAGGAAGGACAGGTTCGTCTGGACTATGTCTTCCCTGATACCTTGACCGAGGCCTGGGGCGGATGACAGGTTTCCAGTAAGGAACTGTTAGAGAGAGGGAGGGAGGGAGGGAGGAAGGGAGGGAGAGGAAGGAAGGGAGGGAGGGAGGGAGGGAGGGAGGGAGGGGGCTGGACCCAGGGCCCATGGCTCTCGGGCCAGCCCAGGACGCACCAGCTGCGTCCACACCCAAAGGAGGCGGCGGGGCTCGGAGGGGGGGCTGCACCCATCCCTCAGCGCGGGCCCTGCCGGCCTCTGCTCGTGCCCTGCTCCCCCAGCGCAGCACGGGGCCCGGGCCTGCGCATCCCCCTTTCTGTCCTGGCCCCGGGGTCGGGCTGCTGGGGCGCCTGCCCCGGACGGGGTGCCCTGACTCTCGCTAGAGCGGCAGGACACTCAGAGACAGGTCGGGTCAGGTGGGGGCATCGTGGGAGAAGGAGAGGTTCTCGAAGGCTCTGAGTCAGGACTCAGACACCCGTCTAGGGTGCCCTCCCTCGCTCCCTGCCTCCCTTCTGTCCCTCATTCCATGCGTCCCTCTGCCTGAACTTCCGTCTGTCCATCCATCCACCTGCCCATCCACCCACCTGCCCATCCATCCACCCCCCCACCCATCTGATAGTCCCCGACCAGCCCCACGGGCCAGGCCTTGAGCTCACTGCCGGGACACACCGTTAGAGGGGGGGCGGGCAGAGCTCCAGGCAGGGGGCCCCCGGGAGGGGGGTGACCCTGGCCCTGTGTATGCTGGCCGGGTGCTCAGCAGTGACGAGCGTGCGGTTCTGGGGGGTAAGGCACCGCTTTACCCCCCAGGGGGCGGTCCTGGCACTGACGTGCCCACCGGCGGAGTGGACTCCGGATGAGCACGGCGGCCGCTGTGGCTGGGGCACGGGGATCGGGCGGGGCCTGGGCCGGAGGGGCCGGGACCTGAAGGGTGGACCCGGGCCAGAAGGGGGTCGCTGGGGCCACCGGGGAGCAATGAGAGAGAGGCCTCGGAGGGCCAGGCCGGGCCCGTGGAGGGGCCGGGGGAGCTCCGCAAGTCATCAGGGTCTCCGACGCATGCCAGGGGTGCCACGAAAAAGAACCAAATATGCGATTCCGTGCTAACCCCGATAGCATCTTCAGCTGGGTGCCCGGGCGGGCAAGTTGTGTCAGGTACCAGAGGTTTGAAACCGCGGACAGAGGGCTGGAGGGAGGCGGGAATGGAGGGCATTCCGGCCCCTGCGACCTGGGACAAGGCCCCCATTGTGCGGACCCTGGGGAGGCGCCTCTGCCCACCACCTTGGAAGGGCCCGCTCCTGGGGGCGAGGGGCAGGACTCAGGGCTGAAAGAGACGCAGGGCCCGGGGTGGGGGGCCGCTCCCCGAGGGGAGGGAGGTCTGAGCTTGTCTGGGGAGCCCAGGGGAGGGGTAAGAGATGAGGGTCTGGGCGTGGGCGCATGTGCAGGGTGGCAGGACAGAACCTTCCAGAGCAGGACGTCCAACCGGGGCCCGCAGGCCGCATGCGGCTCAGGGCGGCTGTGAATGCGGCCCCCAACGCAAAGTCGCCAATTTACTTAAAACGTGATGAGATTTTTCTTGCGATTATGTGTCGCAATGTATTTAATGTGGTGCCCCGAGACGCCAAAGGTCGGACACCCCTGTTCTGAAGTGTGGAGGGCAGGAGGAGAAGTGGCTGTGGGGGGGAGATGCTTACACGGGGGGGTGGAGGAACAGAACTTTCTGGAAAGCCCAGGGGCTGGGATCAGGAACACCCACGGCATCGCCTGGCGTTGCCCGAAGGCCTCAGGCTCAGCAACTGGTCCGCGAGGAAGGGTTCCAGGCCAAGTGAGTTTGGGAAGCACTGGGCTGACCACCACCCAGCAGTTTCGCCGGGGTGCCGCTGGGGGCTGGGGCTCTCGGGGCAGGGGGTCCCCAAGTTCAGTGGCCCAGCGGCAGGGCAGGATTGGACTCCGGCAAAGACGGCTGGAGTGCCTGTCCCGGTTAAGATGGTTACGATGCCGGGTCCGGTGGCCTCTGGGGGCACACACCATGCACAACCACCCGCCGCAGCCGCCACTGCCGAGAATCAGAGGCGCACACCCACCGACCGCACGGAGCTCCCCGACGCTCTCCCTCACACCTGGGAGCAGACGCCCGGGACCCCGGTGCCCCTTGTGTGGCCCGCCCTGAGCGCCCAGTCCCGCTGCCCCTCCCGCGGCCCCGGGGGCCCTGCAGGCGCCCCCAGAGCACCTCCTCGCCCTCCGGGGCCACTCACCTTCCTGTCGTTGAACCCCACGTTCTCGCCTTCGTAGTCACCCTGTTGGGAAGGAGAGAAGGCACAGTCTCACCCAAGGGAGCTCTCTCACGGCTGACTCCCTCCCGTTCCTGGCATTTCCAAAGGAGCGCCGCAGCAGTGACATGGTTAGGATGACCCTGGGACGCCAGGGCCTGTGGCGCAGCAGGCGGGCCCAGCCCGCCCCCTCAGAGCAGGTCCTCTGAGCCGCCGGCCCACCCGTGTGCCCTGCCCCACCTGCCCCAGAGGCAGAGCCTGGGAAAGGACCCTGGCTGGTGGTCCTCGGGACGGCCTCTGGGGCGGGAGGGTCCCACTCTGCCGGGCGTTCCCGGTGCCCCATTCCCAGTGCCCCGTCCAGGGGGTGCCCCCTTCACTCTCAGGTGTCCCAGGAGGGGCGGCAAATGACGTGGTCCCTGCACACGGACACCGGTGGGCCCAGGTCTCCCATTTCACAGACGGGAACAGTGAGGCTCGCTGACTTGGCTGAGGGCAGGAGGCTGGATTTGATCCGACCTGGGACTCAGGTCCCGTCTCCAAGTCATCAGAAGAGGAGGGTCTAAGGGCCGAGAGTGAGTCCCACGCACCAGCGCTGACACCCGAGACTGAGTGGCGGCCTCAGGAGAGGGGTCCTGGGAGCGCCTGGTGGGACTGGCCCTGAGGCTCGCGGGGCGGACGAAGCTCGGAGGCCTCTCGGGGTCTGTCCGCTGCCCGTCCCACTCGCCAGCTCCTTCCACGACCCTGGAAGCCCCTCCAGCCCCCTCTGGGTGGGGAGGGCCTGGCCGCCAGCCCAGCAGCCCGATGCCCTGGCCTCGGGATGCAGATGCCCCGAGGACAGTTGAGACAATTTCCTCCGGAGTCTGCAAAGAGCCCCCTGCCCCCAGCTGGCCTCTGACCCTGTCCCGCGGTTCTGCTCGTGGCTGAGACAGCCGCAGGGACCCGGCAGCACCTCCTCTAGGCAGAGGCCAGTTAGCAGGCAACCGTGGGTGGGGGGTAGGTGCCCACCAGGAGGGAAGCCCAAACACTGCCGAGCGGACAACTGAAATGCCAAAGTCCTTCGCCTGGAGCGGACTCGCTGATCCCGGAGCCCTCCCAGTGGTCCCGCTCTGAGCACACGCCGTCTCGGCGGGTGTCCTGGGGCCAGAATCAGCACCCAAACCTTATCGACACCTGTTCTCGCTGAATGAATGGCTGAGTGAGTGAATGGCTGAGTGAGTGAATGGCTGAGTGAGTGGATGGATGGGTGAGTGGATGGATGAGTGAGTGGATGGATGGGTGGGTGGATGGGTGGATGGATGGGAGAGTGGATGGATGGGTGAGTGGATGGATGGATGGGAGAGTGGGTGGATGAGTGAGTGAATGGATGGGTGGGTGAGTGGATGGATGGGTGGGTGAGTGGATGGATGGGTGGATGGATGGGTGAGTGGATGGATGGGAGAGTGGATGGATGGGTGAGTGGATGGATGGGAGAGTGGATGGATGGGTGAGTGGATGGATGAGTGAGTGGATGGATGGGTGAGTGGATGGATGGGAGAGTGGATGGATGGGTGAGTGGATGGATGGAAGAGTGGATGGATGGGTGAGTGGATGGATGGGAGAGTGGATGGATGGGTGAGTGGATGGATGAGTGAGTGGATGGATGAGTGAGTGGATGGGTGGGTGGATGGATGGGAGAGTGGATGGATGAGTGAGTGGATGGATGGATGGGAGAGTGGATGGATGGGTGGGAGAGTGGATGGATGAGTGAGTGAATGGATGGGTGGGTGAGTGGATGGATGGGTGGATGGATGGGTGAGTGGATGGGAGAGTGGATGGATGGGTGAGTGGATGGATGGGAGAGTGGATGGATGGGTGAGTGGATGGATGAGTGAGTGGATGGATGGGTGAGTGGATGGATGGGTGAGTGGATGGATGGGAGAGTGGATGGATGGATGAGTGGATGGATGGATGAGTGAGTGAATGGATGAGTGAGTGAATGGATGGGAGAGTGGATGGATGGGTGAGTGAATGGATACGTGAGTAAGTGAATGCAGGTCAACCCGGGGGCAGAGGGTGGTGAGCAGAGACGTCAGACAACGCAGCGGTGAGTGACACGGGGGACCGGAGATTCGGAGCCAGGGTTACACAGCGCCCGCGCAGCGCCCTACGCCGCCAACCAGGGGCGAGGGTGCGCCCTCGCTGTGGGCAGCGTTCTCTGTGGAAGAGCACAGGGCGCACCTGGCCCGGCTCAGGGTGACGTGTGAACATCGGTGTCAGTACGTAAGGACACGGGTGTCCCCCGATGGCATGGAAAATTCACGGAGGTGAAATTCTGCATTTCCTCAGGACTCCCCAAGTCCATAATCTGTCTGGAAGGAACCCAGGGGTCTGGGGTCGGGGCTCCGCTCCTCGGCTGTCCGCCCCAGCGGCTCCTGCCTCGGTTTCCCCGCCTGTGAGGTGGGAGCAGCCTGCGTAAACTGCACACAGGCTCGGCGACTGGCCCAATGTGGCGAAGATGAGAGGGGGGCGCACTCGGCCTCCAGGGACAGAGGCGCAGTGCGGGGTCAGAGGGCTGGCCTCTGGTCCCGGCCCCTCCCCCACCCGGGGGCTGTGGGACCTCAGATGAGTTACTAACTCTTCCTGAGTCTCCAAATCAAATAAGGTAAAGCTCCTACTAAATTTGGTTGTTTCCACACAGTACGTGCTCAGAAAGGTTGGTTTCTCCCCGTTCCCTTTCAAGACTTAAAGGGCTGGTGCTGGGCAAGGCTGCATTCCTGGAGCCCGGGGGCTGAGCTGCCCAGCTGGGCACCTGAGGACAGGGTGGGCCCTGTGGGTGAGTGAGACCTCCCACCCCACCCCCCGGGGCCAGCTTTGTGGGAGGAGCCCGGAGTGAGGGCGGGAGCTGCCGGGCTCTAAGCCCCGCCCTTCAAACATTCGTCCAGCCAGGACGAGGCAACCCGACTGGATCCAGCCCACGCCGACACCACGTTAACGGAGCACCTGCTACGCCAGCAGGGGGCTTTCGTGAGACGCACATGCCGTGAACGGTGGCTGCTAAGTGGTGTCTCGGTGGGACGGGGAGCATCAGAAGAAGCCCAGAGGAGCGAGGGAGAGATCGCGGGTGTGGGGGACCAGGGGAGTAGGACGGCTCGGAGTGGACGTGCTGGGGACACCTGGGGAGGGGGCAGGCAGAGCGTGGCAGGCAGGAGCAGCAGCCTGTACGAGGGCACACGGTGGGAAGTCCAGTCGGCCTCAGGTCCCTACTGGGAGGGGCGAGGGGACGGAGAGCCGGTCAGCGCCCTGGGATTGGGGGGCGGGGGGCGGCCCTCTGCGGGGCTGGCACCCTCGGCCTGTCCAGCGCTGCCGAAAACCCTCTTGTGTCTGTGTCCGCCCTGACGGCCACACCGGCCCCGGCAACGGGCAGGGCGGGCGTTCTGCCCGATCTCAGGCGGGCACCCTGGGGCTCAGGCAGACCCAGGGGCCGATTCCCCTGAGGGCTGCCGAGGACTGGAGCGAGGGGCCGGGGCTGGGGTCCGGCCCCTGGTGCCCCAGGCCCACGCTCTCTCTCCCTCCTGCTCCTCGGACCCCAGTCGGCGCAGCAGCACACACTGGGAAAGTTCGAGGTCCTGTGTCTGGGGTTCCCACACTGCTCGGGCCCCACGGCCGTTCCCAGCGCCCCGCTGAACTCTGGTCCCCGTTTCCGTGGAGACAACGAGGGATCATCTCCCTCCCTCCGCCCCAGCCAAGACGACACCGGCCTCGGCCACAGGCTATATTTGTCCGGGGGCTCCCAGGGGGATTTGGAGATCCGGCTCAGGAAGCTGGCCGCTCGCTCTGCAGAGAGACACGCACGCACGGAGCCCTGGTCACTGTGCCAGAACCGGGTGGGCGGGGCGGGCGGGGCAGGCTGGGCGGGGAGACCGAGGCAGGGGGCGGGGGCAAGTGTCAGGGACCCGCCGGCCACAGGGTCTAGACAAAGCCGGGCCAGTGTCTGCCACCGATGTCTCTGGCGGCACTGGTGTGCAGGAACGGAGGGTCCCGTCGCTCCTTGGCCCCCACTCGGGGGAACAGAGCAGGCCTGTGCGTGGTGACATTTAAAGAAGAGCCAGAGCAGGAAGCGCAGACCGCAGGATAATTAGAGCTCCCGGGGGGGGCGTGGCCCGTGGGGATTTGGGGAGTCAGGTGACGCCAGATGGACTGCGTGTCAAGGTCACTTACGTCGTGCAGGGGGTAGGCCGCCGAGTAGACGCCGTTGGCCAGCAGGCTCGTGATGCCTTAAAAATAAAGGCAGAAAGAGGATTACGGACCGGGCAGGTGTCCGGCCGCCGCCGCCGCCGCCGCTGCTGCGTGTCCCGGCAGAGACTCCCGGCACCGTCTCGGCCACCGGGGACCCCGTCCACGCAAGCCACCGCACCTGGCCGCTCCGCACCCCGCCACCTGCCGCGGGGCTTCCTCCCCGCGTCCGACTAGCTGACAAACACATGCTCTAGTGGCAGGATCAGGGGAGAGACAGAGGAAACCCCAGGAGGAAGTTGCGGCGAGGGGGGAGCAGGGACCCCACACCGGCGGCTCACCGACTACCCCGCCTGCCGGAGGGCAAGCCTGCAGACCGGAAAGATGGGCTCCGAGTGGTTAGAAAAGCCGGATCACGGGGAAGTACGGGCGGGCACGCGGACGGCGTCAGAAACACACGCACAATTTGGAATTAGGTTTTAGGTTTGATTGGAGAAGCCAGAGAGGAGGCCTGCGGGCCCCCGCACGGGGGCAGAGGCACTTACCGTATTTACCACATTTTCGCCTCTTACTTAAAAGGGCAGAGTCCTTCTTTCTTCCCTCTCCTTGCCCTGTTTACACAGCCGGCTATTAGTGACATGCGGGAGGGCCCGGGAGGGTCAGTGACACGCAGGAGGGCCCGGGAGGGTCAGAGCTGCGTTCGGGGGTGGGTGGGGGGGAGAAGGCGCCCCGGGGGCCGGCGTTCCTGTTGGTCCCTGCGGGGGCCCCAGGCCCTGCCCTGATGCCCTGTAACCACGACCGCACCTGCTCCTCCTGGACTGCGGCTGCGGCTGCGGGAGCCGCGCGGGGAGAGGCGAGGGGGCGCCTGGCTGTGCCTGGTGCCGGGGGGGGGGGGCCTGGCACTCCGGTCTTGCCTCGCACGCTTCTGCGCGGGGTCCAGCGTGGCTGAGGGGCTTCGTCCGTGAAGCCCCTCGCTGGTCCCAGAGCCCTCTGCCTGGCCCAAGGGGCTTGCCGGGGCTTTGATGGGTCAGAGTTTTCGGTGGTCGGCCCGGCCTGCGCTCCGCCACGGCGAAACGGGCGGGCAGGGGACTCAAAACCGACCGTGTCCTCGAGTAGCAATCTGAAACGGTCAGGCTGCCTGAGGGACACTGAGGAGTCGGGACCGGGCGGAGGCGGGAGCTCTTGAGTGAGAGCCCTTGAGCCCGTCTGAGAGAGACAGGGGCGTGTGGTCTGGTCCGGGACACGGCCTCGGGCCTGGGGCCTCGCCCTCAGCGCCCGCAGGTCTGGGCCTGCACCACCGCGGCAAGGCCCGGAGACCTGCCGACCTGCGGCGTCTGGTTGTTTACCTTCTACTTTCTCCTCCAGAACAGGAGAGAGCCCTGGGGGCGGGGCACACCTGGGACCCAGCGGGCGGTGGGGGGGACAGATGCAGGGCTCACGGTGAATGGATGACTTGGAGGCCAGCGGGGCTGCCGGACACGGCGCCAACGTGACATGGGGGTGCAGAGGAGCCCCCGGTCCTTTTCTGCTCAGACATCGGGGGCTGGGAACCAGCTCAGAGGGCCCACCCCAGGGAGCACCCCCGGTGGGCGCCCGGGCCCAGACTCTCTTAGCAACCGTGCGAACCCCCTTGGGGAGGGGCCCTAAGGGAGACCGAGCTCCAGGGGCTAGAACCACGTGCCTCCCCCAGCTGGGGTGCCGGGCCATTCTGCAGGCTCCTGCTCTACGGAAGGCCTGTGGGGAGCCCTCTCCTGGGCCCCTCTTGGCCCCTGGATGAGGCCCCGCTCCCTCTGGTTTGGGCCCAGAAGGGTGTCCTTGGGGCCAGCATGGGTCATGCGGGCCGGGGGACCTGAGTCAGCCCGGCCCTGCAGGGGCCACCCTCTCCGCCCTGCAACCTGGGCCCGGCCTGGGCCAGCCCCAGCCGACCACGTCACTCCTTCTCCTGCCCCCGCCCCCGCGGTTCCTCCCGGGAAGCAGGGGAGCCCAAACTCTCCGTCCCGGATGCACGGACTCCCCTCCTACTCGACCCACCCAGCGGCCCCGAGCCACTGCCTCGGACCTCAGGAGCTCATCCAGCGCGACCCTCTGCGCTGCCGGCACGGCTCTCAGCGGGCACAGCACAGCTCAAGGAGGGCAGTCGGCTAGGAAAGGCCCTGCGGCCTCGGCTCAGAAATGCTGCAGGGTGTCCACTGGGCCTGCAGCCGTGGGCAAGGGACTCACGGCAGGGCAGTGCTCCCCTCCCCACGCTTTAATCAGTCAGGTGTGCTATCTGTGGCCTGGGCTGTGCTGCGTCCCGGCCCCCAGGAGCCCAGCCGGGACGGCTCTGTGGCAGGTTCTAGAATCAGGCCCCTGTTGAGGGGAGCCCCTTCCAGCAAGGCCTGGCGTGGGGCTGGGCTGGCCCGGTGGGGCACCTTCCACCCTCTGCCGGCCTTGAACCTGTCTGGCTGCCCGTGGCCTGGGGTGCTGCTTGGGGCCGCCGCGCTGCTGGAACCCTAACTACTTCCTGCTGGGCTGTGAGAGTCAAGGGAGGGTGGAGACGCCCGGTCAGCCCACAGTGTGCAGCGGCCGGGGTTTACCGCCGGAGGTGGAGGCGGCGGAGGAGGCTGCGGACTCCAGCAGAAACGCCTGGGGCCAAAGCCAGTCAGACCTGGGTGCTGGGGAGCGGGGGCAGGGCCACGAAACTGCCCCACAGACCCAGGCCTGGGACGGCTGTCCTTCCAGAAACCGTCACCATCAGGCTTAAATCAAAACCCTCCGAAGAAGACGCCCCAGCCGGCCGGCCACCCCCCACGGAGACGATTCCGAGGCGAGATCAGCGCCGGAGCCGGTGCTGAGGTCAAGTCCCGAGACTGCCCTTACCCATGCTGTACTTGGCTTTGCTGCAGGTGGTCCTCTTCAGGATCTCGTAGACCTGGTGCGGAGACAAGAGCAGGGTGGGCGGTTACTCCCGCTGCAGCGACGCGCCGGCACGGCCGTGCGTGTGATCGCCGAGAAGGGGCGGGCCCAGATGGCGACCTGTGGCGACCTGCCCCCTTCTCCGGGGGCTGCAGCCAGCCCTGCTGAGGACGCTCGGTGGACAGTGTCGGGGCCGGCGTGCTCCGGGATGAGCAGTGCGCTCTCGAAGGAGCCCCGTCTCCCCTTCTGGAAGCACCGACTCCCTGCCGCGCTGTCCCCTGCGCCCTGCTGCTGGGTCACTGTCCCTCTGGCTGAGAGCGGGGCTGGAGTTCAGGGCCTCGAGGCCCCAGCCCACAGGACCACACCTGGTGTATAGCCACAAATGTTCCAGAAACCCGGGCGGGCGGGTCTCGGTGCGATTTGACACAGTCAGGATGCAGCAGAGCACGGGGTGCCCGGCAGAAGCCCCCCTGAGGGTCCCGCCGCACCCCAGCTCGTGACGCATTTACTGACAGAACGTTTCGCCTGGCGGCCTCCGGAGCCCCGGCCGGGACTGAGTGCAGGCTCCGCTGGTTGCCGGCTCTTGGGCAAGCTACCTCGCCACCTCGTGCCTCAGTTTCCCCTGATGCAAAATGGGGTGACAATGACGGATCCCACGGCACAGACGTGTGAAGGAGGGCGCGCCGCTCGCCCGCCCAGCCCTCCTCCATCCCACTCCCCCCCGCAAGGCCGACAGCCGGCATTCCCGTGGCCCCTCCGCCTGACCATCCTCTTCCCGTCCCGTCTGTCCCGGTGAGCCGGGCCCCCCGCCTGCTCCTCTCGCCCACCGAGCCCTGTCGCACGCCTCAGGGCCTCCTCCCTGCCGTTCCTCCCACCAGACGCACTCGTCCTGAGATCCAGCGCAGAGGGACCTAACCCAACAGGCCACAGAGCACCAGCCGTTCCTGTTACTCTGCCTTCTCACCGAGGTCTTGTCCCGGAGTGCGTTTCCCCGCCGGCCCTATTGCCCCCCCCCGCCCCCCCCCCGCCCCCCAGTCCTGGGCGAAAGCCAGGTGCTGGGTCACTGCCCACTGAACAAACGAGTGAATGAATGAACGAGTGCCCACTCCGTTGGCCCCCTCCCTTCGCCCCCTAATCTAGTCTTCCTGACCGAGCACATTCTGCCGTAAATGCCCCCTCCCAGCCACACACCGTCATGGCCCCCGTTCACGGCCACCGCTGCGGCTGTGCAGCTGCCTTCCATCTGCCCTCCCACGGTGGCCCCAGGCGGCGAGCTAGGAGGGACAGATCTGACCTCTTCTTAAACCTTGCTCCACAACCTTCTATGGCTCCCTAGGGCCCCAAGGCTAAGGGTCCCAGTCCCAAGACCAACACATCGGCTCCTTCCCTGCTGTTCCCAACTCCCACCCGCCTACCACGACCTCATTCCAGCTCCGGACACGGTCGTCGCTCAGACACCACGGAGCCAGGCTGACCGAGGGCAACGCTGTGAATCAGCACAGAGGCCCCCCCTGGAGCGCGGGCAGCTGCCAAGCTGACCCTCAGGGTCTCCGGGAGAAGTGACCCCACCCTGGAGGTAACTGGAGTCATGGGCAGTTCACTCAACACGGACCCCCTGTCAGCGTGGCCGCCTGGGACTTGGGGATCGGGGACGGGACTCAGTTCCACGGAGATCCGCAATGAGACGCAAAAAGGGCTTCTGAGTCTCGTGCGCCCCCCCACCCCCGCCCCCCACCGCGGCCACCTCCCCAACAGCGAGAGCGAATGTAACACATCTGTGTCTGCCCCGTGCCCGGGGAGCATTTTGGCAACCCTCGATAATGTAAAAAAGTTGGGGTGCGCATACATCTTGAAACACAGGCTCGTGACTCAGTTGACCGCGCTGCCGTAGGAAAGGGGGACCGTCCAGCTTACGGCTGGGAAGAGGGCTCTCCCAAGCAGCGGGCGTCCCAGGGACCGGGCTCCCCTCTGCGGACACACGTCAGCCCGCGCGGCACCGGCAGCCGGTGTCTCTAGCTATGGGAGTTAACGGCTGAAACCGATCAGCAGGGGCTCTGTCGCCTGGCGCTGGGTGCAGGCGCCCCTCGGAGGAGGCTCCCGAGGCCCTTGGCGCAGGAAGCCGGCGCGGGCCTGGCTCTCGAGCAGCCTCGGTGACTCCCAGAGCCACGAGGCCGGGAGGCGGAGGGGGGTGGACAGGCCCGGATCTGCAGCCCCCGAGCCCCCGATGCCCAGGTGGCCCGCCGCACCGTCTCTCGCCCGGCCACCTTCCAGGCTCAGGATGTGGTGCCTGGGGCAGCTCTCAGGTCAGGGCCGAGCCCTGCCCCCCTCCCTGCCGGGCTGGACTCTCTGGGCGGGGAGGAGAGGGGACCATGGCCGCGGCTCAGCGGCGCTGGGCTGAGAGGCTCAGGGGGTCATGTTTAGGTAAAAGCCGGGTCCTGAGCCGCGAGGCTCAGCTTGGCTGGCGGACGGACTGGCAGCCGTGGAGAAACACTGAACCAACACCTCGGGCAGGGCAGGGTGCACGCAGCTGGCAAAGACTCCGGTCTCCGCCCCGATCCGCACGGCGGTGCCGCCACCGCCCATCACTCCCGCCTGCCCTGCCGGCTGGGCCACCTCTGGGCCTGGGGCCGGGTGACTGTCAGGAGCTACGACTCCCACAACGGGGGGGGGCGGCCAGGGGCCAGCGGAAGCCGTTCGGGGAACTGGGGCAAAGACCAGACTCACAGAGGGGTCTGGAATCCTGGAATCCCCCCCTCCCCTCTCTCCTGCTGGTCCCTGCTCCCCGCCCCCCACTCCCTCCACCAACCGCTGGGCTGGGAGGTCCCTTGGGCCCCTAGCAGCCCTCTCGGTTTTATTATTCTAATTATTTCTATCACAGACAATTAGAGCCTCTTCCACCTGGGGAGCTTTTCCGGAATGAAATTACGGTCCCTTTCCCCGCGGGCCATCTCGCTGGCCGGCCAGCGACTCCCGCGATTCCCGCAGACGGAGGGTACTCACGATCGTGCTCCGGGTTTTGCTGTCGAAGAAGGAATCCTTGTCGGACAGGTCAAAGCTGCAGAAACACGGGAAGGGGGAGAGGCGAGGCTCGCTGGGGGCAGCCCTCCTGAGCTCCGGGGCCCCCCTGAACCGCACTGCGCTGTCCTCCCCCCGAGCAGCGGCGGCCGGGAAACTGGCGCAGCTGTCTGTCTGCCGCCCAGGCGTGGCCGGACCCAGGGCGTTGGACAGGGTCAGTCCCCCAACCCCACATCTCGCCCCCCACAAAATCCTCCAGGAGGCTGGGAGACCCCCTGGGGGTGGGGAGCGTGCTCAGACCCCCCCTCGGGGACCCTGCCTGGTTTGGAGGATGCCCTCCGCGGGCTGGGTTCAGTCTCTGCCGCAGCACTGCCGGGGGTGGGGACGGCATTGTTTCGCCGTGACGCTCGGTACTTAAGATCACCCCCTTGCCCCTTCCAGGTGGCTTTGGTCCTGGGGTCTTGGAGACCACCTGGAGGTTGCCTAACGCTTCTGAGGGCACAGAGCCACCTGAGGCATAGGTGACCCACTTCCCAAGCAAGAGCTGGGAGGTTGCAGGGGGGCTCTCCCCACGGAGCCTGGAGGTGAGCCTGGGCTGGCCAGGCAGGGGGTGCCAGGGAGACGCAGGGCAGGGGGGTCCTAGGAGGAGGGTCTCCCGCTAATGCCCGGGAGCTCTGCCCTGAGGCTGGCGGAAGAAGTGGGACTGGGGCCACGTTCTCTCTTTGTTCTTGTTTCTGATCCCCAGGAGGACAGGGACACGCGGGGAGTGGGGCCCCAGACCTCTGCCCTGTGACTAACACACGTGCCACATAGAGGCCCAGGTCTCCGCACCCCACAAGGACAGGGATAACCAGGAGGCTTCGTGTCCCGACAGCGGGCCACCAACGCCCCACTGTGTCTCCGAGCCCCCCCTCTAGGTCTGCCCCCCGAGGTCTCACGGAGGCCAGGTGGCCACGCCCCGAGGGAGCCAGGACGGGGGCGAGTTTCCAGAGCAGGTACGGCACTGCCAGGCAACGCCGCGGCTGCGGAGTCCCTGGGGCCGGGGCCTCCAGCTGGGGCTGCTCTGCAGCTTCTGTCCCCCCCCCCCCCGCCCCCAGAGAGCTCACAGAGCCTCCGGCGGCCACTGCGCCCTCTCCCCGGGCACTTCCGAGAGGGACGGAGCCGGGAGGAGGGAAGGGCGCCCAGACCGCTGCTTTGGGGCTGAGGTCCAAGGCCCACAGGCCCTACTTGTGACCTCGAGAGTGTCCCTAAGTGTCCCCAGGCAGAGGGACAAGACTCTTTGCCCCCTTAATTCCTCAGTGGGCGGTGACCTTAGAAAGCGTTGGCCAAGGCCTCAGCTGTGCCCGAGGACCTGAGCTCCTCTGCGGACAGGCTCCGGGGGGGGGTGGGGGGGGTGGAAACACCCCCTGCCCTGAGGCCGCGTCCCCACACCCTGTGTCTGCCCCGTCCTGGGCGACGGCGGTGGGGGGAGGGGCTGGGGCCCCCACTTACAGGTGCTGCTTCTCCCTGGAGAAGGGGTAGGACAGCCTCTTCACCGACTGCGGCCTGTGCTCCGCCACCCTGGGCTGGATGGGGGCGGTGATTTTCTGGAGCACGGAGTTGATCTTTTTCAGGAGGCCCCTGGCCTCGTTCATGTGATACAGCTGCGGACAGACCAGGGGGAGGGGGGCCCGGGTCACCGGCTGAGCCGCGACCCCCGTCTCGGCCGGTCCCAGAGCCGTCCCACCCTCCTGAGATGGCCGGCCCTGAGAGGGCGTGCCGGGACCCGCTGCCCTGCACGCCCGGGTTCCAGATAAACCCGAAAGCCCCTGCGGTTTCGGGAGGGGCCCGCCGCTACCCCCCCTCCGAGGTAGCGATGATAGCACGTTGCTGAAAACCTCCTCCGAACTTCCCTTTTGTTCTGGGAGAAGGAATCCCAAGGATCCCTGTGGACTTGGGATGCCGGGGTGACTTAGTCCTGGCACACTTCCTCCCCTCCTCTGGCCTCACCCAGGAAACCCCGACGCCCAGCTAAGCCTCAGGGGCGCCCTGCTGGCTGTCGGAGCTACACAGGCGCCGGAGCCTCATGGTTTTCAGAGATTAATGAGAAAACACCCAGCCCTGGCTGGTGTAGCTCAGTGGATTGAGCGCGGGCTGGGAACCAAAGTGTCCCAGGTTCGATTCCCAGTCAGGGTACATGCCTGGGTTGCAGGCCATGGCCCCCAGCAACCACACATTGATGTTTCTCTCTCTCTCTATCTCCCTCCCTTCCCTCTCTAAAAATAAATAAATAAAATCTTAAAAAAAAAAAAGAAAACACCCAGCCAGCTGGGAGCTGCAGCTCAAATGATTCCCGTGGACCAGCCGCCGAGAGACAGTGCTCCCGAGACACCGGGGCGGGAAGGGGACGGGCGTTCGTATTGTGCACTGCGTGGCCCGTGGCGCGCGCCTGTGCCACACCCCCAGGGCTTGGGCTGCGGTCTCTGCAGGGCCCAGCGGCCACCGGCTTTCCCGGGGACGCAGACCCTCCCGCCGACACCTGGCAGACGCGTCCGCCGGGTAGCCCTCGGCCCGCAGACCGGCCTCGGGGCAGACGCGTCCCCACCAACCTTCTTGGTCGGCATCTTCAGCTTCAGGAACTCCGCCTCCCTGCACAGCACGTTCCAGGGCGCGTGGATCTTCACGAATCCGACTCCGTGGATCTTTGTCTGGGGGGGGAAGGGGAGGGGGGAGGGGAGGCCCGAGTCAGCCAGCGCAGGCACGGCCGGAGGCCGCCCTCGCCTCCGCGCCCGCCAGCACCTGCAGGCTGTCGGGAGCTGCCGCGCTGGGCGGGTCCCTCCCATCCCCTCGCTGGCCCCTCTCCACGGCTCTCCCAGTCCCCTCCGTGCAGGGCGCACGAGAGCGCGAGGGTGGACGAGTCTGGCAGGACGATCGAAGGAGAGCCAGGGGGGCCTGGAGGGAGGTCCCGGACCCCAAGCACCTGGAAGAGTTTCGGGGGGCTGAGTCCAGAGCCCCCTGAGGAGCAGCGGCCACACAGGAAGCCCTCGGAGAGCACAGAGCCCCCTGGCCCCCACCCACATGAACTCGGCGCCCCCTCACCCTGGAGCGGGGACGAGGAGGTCGGGGGGCAGATGGCCCCTCTGGGCACCCCCCCCTCCGTGGGGTCAGGCCACACCTCTCCCTGTCCCATCCTCCCGTGCGCGTCAGCAGCCAGCCCGGCACGGGGCACGGGGTCCAGGCTGCCCCCTGACCGAGCTGCTGTGAGCCCGGACACGGCCCTTCTCCCGGGGCGGCGTGTCTGAGGGACGGGGATGCTCCAGGGCTGCCCGGCCGGGGGGCTGCGAGAGGCCCCGCCACGGGTCCCTTCGCAGATGGGAGCACCCAGGCTTGGGGCAAGTGCGTCCCGGCCTGGGCTCCTCGGAACCCGAGGACGAGGAGGACCACGTGGTCCGGCAGCCCCACTGCCGGGAACGCACGCGAAGGTTGTGACTCTGGTTCTAGAAGACGCACCCACAGCCCCACGTTCACGGCAGCGCCACTCACAGCAGCCGCCAGGTGCAAGCCAGCCGAGTGCCCGCCGACAGACGAGCGGATAAAGAAGGTCTGGCCCACGCACACGGCGGGGTTATTACACAAAAGGAGGAAGCGCGGCCCTTCGTGACAACGTGGGTGGGCCTGGGGCACATGATGCTTCAGAGAGACAAGCCAGAGAGAGAGAGACTCTGCGATCCCACTGACACGTGAAATAAATCTCAAAAAACGAAACAAAACAAAAGCCAATTTCATGGGAGCAGGGAGCAGAACGGGGTGGGGGAGGGGCGTGGTGGAAGCTTCCGGACTGTCCGTTATGAGATGGTTAGGTTCTGAGGATCTAACCCGCAGCAGGGTGCCTGCCGTTACCGCGCAGGATCGCGCACTTGCGTGTGGTCGGAAGCCACACACGCGTGTGCACACAGGCACACACACGCTGTGCACTTTAGATACACACGATTCTGGGTCTCCATCACCCCCCAGTCAGGCTGGGGGTGGGGGGTGGGACCCAGCGTCACGCAGGCAGCAGACGTGGGCACCCGTGTTACCAGCAGGCCGTGCGGCCCCGCGTCCTTTTCCCCCCGTGCCCCCTCGACCTGCGTGTTCAGGTGAACAGCGTCGGCGCGGCGACGACACGCTTCCTCACCGAAGGCGCAGGCCACGCACACAGACCTCCCAGCCGCCCGAGACGACCAGGGTGTGCGTGGCACGGCGGTCCTCACAACAAACGGCAGAGACCCACGAGGTTCCCCGGGCCCCCGGCCGGCAGGAGAGGTCCGACCGTGAGGGCACCGAGCCCCCGGGCCCCGTGACTCAGGCCGCCCCCCCCCCGCCAGCAGGGAGGCGACCGCGGGCAGCCCACGTGGGGTGGGGCCTGTCCTCCTCCGCTGCTGATGGGGTTACTTCCGTGCACAGCCCGCCCGCACGCACAGACCCAAAATACACCCGCCGGCACGCGGAGATTCCTCTCGGGGGTGGTCGGGAGTCTCGCTGTGGCCCGCCTCCCTGGGAAAGCACGCTCCTCTGGTGACGTGAGCAGTGGGGTCTCTCCCAGGGAGACCGTGGGTGGACTTGGGAAAAGGGTCATGGGACCAGCTCGGCAAGCACACGCACGGGCGTTTGGAAGCATGGTGGTGCCCGGCCTCAGCCGCCTGCCCCTGCCTCCCGGGGAGAGGCCGTGAGACCGGGAGGGGCAGGGGCCCTTTCTCAACAGCCGGAGGCCCCGGAGCAGGGACCTCGGTCGTGACTGAGGCCCCTCGCTAGAGCTGGGGAGTTTGGAGGCCACTGACCGGCCAGGGCCAGAGCCACGGTTGTGTGGGGGCTCTGTGGGGGACAGGGCCAGGGCTTGGACGGGGCCACCGATCAGACAGGGTGGGGGGGCGGGCTGAGGGTGCTCCCCTCGGTGCGGAGTCCTCCTGGCACAGACTAACGTGTGCACACCTTCATTCTGAGCCGCCTCGGGGAGCCTGGCCTGCCCAGAACTGTCTCCGGCATCTTCCTTTCTGGAGGCAGAGCTTGTCTGTGGCCCTTTTGTGGTGGCCGAGGATGCCCAGCCGTCCCCTCAACATTCCCTGGACCTTCTAAGTCACTGGCGGGACCGCATGCTCCTGGACCCATTCCTGGCCACCTACCGTGATGAAGTGCGGACTGGGAAATTGCTGGAAGGTTCACATCAATAAGGGCAGAGCATGGCCCTTTCTGGGGGACCTTGGCTGCCCGGGGCACCAGCCAGCACCACCTCCTCACTCCCACCCTCGCCCTGCAGGCTGCCTCGCGCCCTGAGGGCGACTTTTGCTGTGGGTGCAAAGCCCTGAACCCAGGGAATTGGGAGCCCCCCCAGGGCTCCCCCACCGACAAAGACCCTGGGTGTGACTGTCCGGGGTTAGGGTCAGATGGGAGCCCGGGGGCTCGGCCAGGGGCCCTGACCACCTCGGGGGGGCACACTCCCTCTCTCGCTGTCCTCAGCTTCCTCAGTTCCCACGGAGACACGACCCCCGCCTCAGGGGTCAGGAGGCCCGAGGAGGGGAGCAGACCTCCCCTGGACCCAGCACTTGGAACCCCTGGGCTGCCCGCCGGGAAGGTTCGAATTCCCTGCAGTGAATAGGTTTTCACGTCCCGGACGCTCAGTGCCGTGTCCCCACCGGTCCCTCAGGGCCAGGCAGGTTTCCGGTGACCCTGGCATCCGGACCCTCACACCGTCCTCTCCCTGACCCCCGAGCCCATGTCAACACACCAGACGAGGTGCAGGGAAGGCCTGTCGCTTCCCCCACCCCGGGGGGCTGGCCCAGAAATGCCCATGCCACTCTCCTCCCGGGTGGCTCCTGCGTGGGCAGCAGGAGACGCTCCTAGCGGGGGCCGGGGTCTGCGTGGAGAGGCCGCCTGCTGACCTCGTGTACGCTGCCGGGGCGGGGCAGCTGCCCACCGCCCGGGCGCGGGCACGCCAGGCACTGCTGTGCCGTCACAGCGCTGTCTCGACTTGTCTCAAGAGAAACTGGGACCCAACAGCCGCTGACTCTGTGGGGGCCCAGAGTGGGTGCAGGGACCCACCGGGGCAGCTTACCCCCCAGCCCTGGGCCCAGGCTCCGGCCCCCAAGACCTGGCCCGTTCAAGGAATAAACGGTACCCAGGTCAGCAGACACGGTTCCCTTGCAGCCCCGCTCAGGACAGGCCGGTCGGTCACTCAGATCCCCCTCCCATGGCAAACGATAGAAAATGCTAGGCCGAATGAAATACATAAATGTGACTCGCGTCACGGCCTTGATGTCGCTGAAGGGCTGAGAAGACCGCAGAGCTGCCACACCCTGAGGAGGGACCCAGGGGCAGCCAGTGACCCAGCTGGGGAGTGTGGGCGTGGCGGGGGGAGATGGCCGTTTCGGCCCCAGACCCTCGGAAGGTGGGGAGTCCAACAGGAGACCCCGTGGAGCTGGGCCCGACGCGATGACACTTTCCCGTGACCCAAGGGATTGTAAGGACCGTCGGGGTCCCGGTGTGAGCAGACCAGAAGGGAAGGTAGAAGAGGGGGTGACAGCCACCTGTGAGCCTTGGCCCCCAAAGGCCGCGACCCCACCAGACCCAGAACCTTGGTTCGAGGTGGTCCTGGCTGGAACGCCCTCAGATGTGGGGGACCACGCGCCGAGTCTTTCTGATCACGGGCACCTTCCTCCCGGGCCCTGGGGACCCCCCCCCCCCGCGGGTTTTGCGAGGGTGGTGGCCAGTGGACGGGAGAGCCAGGCCCGCCCGGACGGGGGACGGCCTCGGGTTCTGAAAGGCTCAGGCGGGCGATAAACCAGAAAGGCTCTGTGGGGGGCGGGGAACCAGGACAGCACACAGCCAACGTGCCCATGAACCTGACAGAACGCCCAGAAATAAAGTGTCACCGTGGGAATGGCAAACCCAACAAGCGTGTTTGAAAATACTCAACCCCTCGAGGCAGGACAGGTGGGGCAGAGCGGGGGGCGCGGCCTCCCGGCTCTCCCGAGAGGAAAACCAACCCGTCCTCGGTCCCTGGTTGGGGCATCTGCCCATTTCCGTGGTGCAGACACCCTGGTGCCCCACTGCAAGCCACCAGCGGTGGGGCAGCCGGCTGGCAGATGCCCGATGAGCCAGAAAGGGTCGATGCACGGGGGCGCCGGGGCCTGAGACGCACGAGGACGCGAGAACTGCAGCCAGAGCGGCCCAGCAGGGACCCGGGCGGACCGGTCTGGGCCACCTCTGAGGGTCTCCGAAGACTCGGCTTTAAAAGGCATGTCCGGAGTACACCCTAGGAGAAGCGTGTTTCCACAAACCGAGTCGGGTGGGCGTGCAAAACCCTCGGCAGAAGGCTCACAGACAAAAAGCCTTTGGTGCGTGCTGCTGGGATCAGGAGCGGAGAGCTGACAGCTTCAGGCCTGGGCCGGCCGGCCCACACATCCCTCCAAGGCAGAGGCCCGCCAGGGCGGCGCTGAGCCTGGGAATGAGGGGGGGCGGGGTGCGAGGGGGCGGCCGGAGACTGCACGGTTTGGGGCACAGAGCAGGAGGTTGGCCGCTGGGACCCAGGCTCCAGAGCCAGCCCCGCCCCGCCCCGCCAGGCCCTGCGGCCTGGGTCTCCCTGCTTCGCCTCCCACAGCCTCAGCTGCGTCCTTTCCATCTTTAAAGGGACCAGCCCCCGGGGCCACCCGCTCACGGTGGGGCTGGGCAG